AAGAACACGGAAAAAGACACTAATCCCGAGGTCAACAAGACGGCGCCTACTGTACCTGGTCGGGTCTAAGAGCTTAGGCTCTTTCTTATTTGCATTATCAGCGTTGGCGTTCAAGGGAAGGCTGTCGGATGAAGAGGACAGAACTCGTGACACTTTATTTGCATTATATCCCCAAGGGCTGGGGTAAAACTTTCATCGATGCGAGATGAACGATTAAGGTGCCTTTGAATGGAATGGATTTCGTGTTAAAGGTATCACGTTGAATGGGGTAGTAGCTAAATGATCCCCAAGAAAAATATCTACAGAAGATACCGTCTGCTAGCTTTTGAAGTTTTGCTCTCGATAATGCTACTTAGGGATCAAGAACCTTTCTCTATCAACAGCCTTGATGAGACAAGAGGATCCGACCATGTCTACAAGGCTATATCATGCCCTCGACCATTCTAAGCGCCAGGCGCACCATTAGCAAGTGTTCCAGACTAGCGCCAATATGATCAGCCTCGTACCTTCCACTGCGGCACAGTTAGTTGCAAGCATGTTGAGTACTTGTTCACAGCTACACTCGACGCATTGGTGCTTTCATCGTTTTGAACACAAACTGATCAAACACCTATTGCGGTAATCAGAATCTGGATGATACATCGCTATGTACCATACCTCAAGGCCACCGCTCACCACACTTGCATGGTCAACTCTTCGAATGCATCACAGTTGTTCGCTTTCGAGCAGAGGACTTGTATGTTGGCTAGGAGCGCCCGTCTGTACATCCTATAGTATGAGGTCCCATCAAACTCGTCTCTCTCGAGCAGCATGCTCCACCTCAACACAGCCAATACATCCTTTCAGTAAAGGTACGCCATCCCCCCATCCTCAACAAGCAAATCCTGCCACGATGCTAACCTGAATACAGATTTCGATCGCTACAATTACACAGCAGGGCGATGGCTCCGTGACGAAGAACTCGAGCAAAACGCACGGTTCATACAATTCGACTTCGATGCTTTGTGTCGCAAGATCATAGCACTCTGCATTAGGGATGCCTGGCCTTTTGATTTGGAGGATTGATGGGGTGCGTTGGTGTTGTAGGGTGTACGATTTAGAGCTGTTTGGCTGGCAAGATAGGAAGACGCATTGCGGAGCTTCTTGTTCTTGTAGGCTCTGTACTTGTATGCATATTTGCTCAATGTACAACAAATTTATCTCCTCATCCACTGTATTTCCTACCACCAGTATGGTTATGAATTAGTATCTCGAGCTCAACCGGTCTCGTTACTCAGACGGACGTAAGCGTGACCGAAATCTCGACAAGACTCGATAGCCGTCCCGAAGAACACTAATTGAAACAATAACAGAGTTTTTGCTACTTCAAACGTTTGAAGGGGGTATGCTTATATAACATCATCAATCGCTTTCGACCAGATCGTCAGGAAAAAATGGCCTATAAAAAAGACAGATGAAAGAGGACGCGCGCAGAAGAGACAGTCGCAATCATGGTCCTCGTCTACCCATACATCGTGCCCGTATCCCGATAGTAAATGTCCAAAACTATGTCGATTCCCCGCAGATTAACAACTTTTACGGAAAACAAGTCGTGCGTAATTTGGCTCGGTGTTATCAAAATGCGATTGTCATGTTTATCTGAAGCGAGCAGTGCAGCGGCCCATGACCTCGCCCTGGCAGACGAGCTCGGCATTGAATTCGGATCCGTCGAGCGTGAGGTAAATATCAAAGTAGACGCGGTAGAAAGTACCTTGAGGGGTATCCATGCGTTCAAAGTCTTTTTCGAGGTTCTTTCGTGAGAGGTCAGAGGTGAGGGTGACGACCTCCTTGATACCTTGTTTGCTGTTAGTATATGCGCTTCACTCATGCATTTCTGTTCACTTACGAGGATCTTTAGTGTACTCTGGGCAAACATCGTCATCGCATGCATAGAGTATATCCTCATACATGAGCGTCGCACCAGGCGCGACTTGTCTGAAGAACGAGACCTTGACTGGCTCGCCAATCTTGACTCTTTGACCCTTTTGCACGAAAATCTGGCGCGTATACTTGCAGCGATCTTTGCCGTCAAGAGACGGTACACGGTATTGTTCGGGGTGGTGGCCCTCTTTGAAAGGTTGGAGGGTAGCCATGAGGTAATGCCTACGCGCAACACGGTGTGTGACAATTCGTTCTGTGATACCGGCTGTGACGGCTCCCTTGACGATGGCGGCGACGGAGTCCATGGGACGGACGACCTTTGACTGAAATTGGGGCGGGACGTGGAGTTTGATTTGTTGGAAGAGATATTCGGAGGCACCGAAACCACCAACAACCAAGACGTTCTACAGTAGTCAGCACTGGACCTGATCTGGTTCGACCTTTGTGACCGCTTACCTGCAATGCCCTGTTCTGTGCTTGAATAGCAATAATCTGGTTCCTGACAAGCTCGAGAATACGGTTAACCACAGGCTCAAAGCACTGTAGAATCTCCTCGTTGGTGAAAGTCATGTATCCTTCCTCAATGCCAGCCTCGGGGAACTCAGCCTCGATACCGACGTCGACGGCCCACTTTTGACCATTGTTTCGGAAGTCGGCTTTTATCCTGTTCTCGAAGTCCATGATACATTTGGCGTACACTTTACCGGCTGTCTTGGAGCCATCTGGGAGTTTCATCTTCCTGATCTTGGCTCGCAGGATGTTGCTGAAGTTGCGGTTGAGAGCAGTGGAACCACACGAATCTCCGGATCCAGCTGTACACTCGGCGACGGAGAAGGGCTGCTCTTCTTCGACTTCGTAGGCGATCAAATCGACGGTGCCACCACCGCAATCGACAATGAGGACGGCATCGTGTATCTTGAGGTTGAGCAGACCGGTCTTTGAGCAGAACATGGCAGCAGCTTCGGGTTCGGTGATGAGGGTCAGTCTGTTGTCGTTTTCGTCCCGCAAGAAACCAGCCTGGATGGCAGCCGCACGCGTTGCAGCCTTTCCAGCGTCGTTCCAGATGGCGGGTACTGTAAGGTAGTATCTGATATTGCGCTCCTCACGGTTGAACACCTCACCGAGTGTCTTCTGCAGCTGGTTCCGCATCGCCTGGCGCAGGTGGAAGAGGTAGTCGGCGGCGACATCGATCTCAGACTTGCCCGGGGGTAGCGGCGGGAGGTTGATGGGGTCGATGTATGTGTTTCCGGACAGCATGAGCTGCAGCTTGAACCATTCGACCTTTTGCACACCAGGCTTGGGGTAGCCCGTGGGGGCCAAAGCATCGGCGATGTCAGGACCCCAACCGACTACCTTCTGGTACTGGTCGTAGTAGAGGACGGTAGGAATCTGCAATGGGTTAGCGGGTGCGTATGAAGGTGTCGGTCTAGCGCACCTTCTGCTTTGTCTGGTTGCCCGCGCCAGGCCATTCGGTGATGATGTCTTCCTTGGCCTCGGTGTTGGTCGCAAAGGCGAATGCGACGCCGGAGAAGGTGGTGCCCTGTTTGGCATGGTTAGCTGCTGCAGCGTCCGGTGGTGTCTGGGGCTACTCACAAAGTCGATGCCAACAATGAGCTGGGCCTTGGAGCGACCTTCACCAGCTACCTCTGCCATGCCCGAGGGCCTGTTGTATGCTGCGGGGGGACCATGAGGGGCAGGAGCTCCCGGCGGTGGAGCGCCATAGCCCTGGCCGTACTGTCCAGCTCCCGGTGGGCCTTGGGGAGGATAGCCAGGCGGGCCAGCCTGCGGAGGGTAGCCCATGGGCGTCTGCTGGGGAGGGTAGCCAGGCGCGCCCGTGTTGATGGGCGGCAGAGGGCTCGCGGGTCGGCCGTGCTGTTGTTGCGGCGCACCGAGGCCGCCAGGAGGAGCGTATGTGTACGAGGGCGGGCGGCCCAGAGGGTTTTGCTGGTTCATTGGGAGCGAGGTGCTGCTCGAGTTTGAGGCCTGAGGCGATAGCGACGTCGGTCGTTGGCCTCCAGTGGGGGCGGGATTGCCTTGGGGCGTGGGCGAGGGATTGTGTGAGGAACTCTTTCGTTTCGAACCCACTAGGTTCTTGAAACGGGCGTTCATGGAACTCATGAGAGAGAGAGGGGAGGAGGGCTGGGAGCGGCGGGTGGGGTGTGGTCCAGGATATCTGGGAGAGGTGCTGCGGCTGACAGCAAGCTGGGCGCGGTCCAAACGGCGCAAGCTGCAAGGCTGTGTGAAGGAAAGCCCGCCAACGCGGTGCGGCGCAGTCCCCGGGGAATTGGCTGGGGCAGCTGGAGGACAGGCTTTGTATCCTCGAAGCTTGACACGGCAGATGCAGCGCGCGCAGACCCAACAGTTGCTCGTTCCTGGCCACGGCGCTTGCTGGCGAAATTGACGCGGCGGGGTGAATTGTACACAATAGCGGGCCACTCTCCGCCGGTCAGCATCCTGGGCATATCCTAAAGCACTACTAGAGTACACCGACGCCACGACCAGCCACGTCGAGCCGCTGTCAAACACACCTCTTCTGCGCAGTTTCCAGCGGTACCCCAGCGACATCCAACGACTGTTCCCGGCGGAACACCACGTGCTGAGCAGGGCCGACTCTGAAGAGGACAAGATAGTTTCCTCAAGCACTCTGGCGGCCTGACCAATCCATCAAGGATGCATCCGCCTTACAAGCCCGAGCTGGGTGGGTCTGGCTGCACATTGCTCACCTCAGCACTCTGGATGCCTGAGGTTGCACGTCGCGGATGCCTTGCCCTATGCGAGCAATGGGCTGGAGTTTGCAAAGGTACAAGCTTTACATCTCTGTGCAGTTTGCAAGTCCGTCCTATCTTCGCGCTGCTTTGTTCCGATGCCCATTGATGCCATGCTACGGGCCCACTACTCTCCACACCAGGGTCCATAAGGCTGGTGTCTAATCTTGGAACCGGGCCTGTTTGGTCACGGTATGCTAGCGTCTAATCGTGCAGCACGTTAACCAGTAATTCTTGGACTTCCATGCGTATGTTTGAGACTCGGTGAAGATCTTCAACGGCAATGTCTTGATGCTAAGCGAAATGTGCGCTAAAATGCCTTCCAAGATGCGACCATCCAATATATCCAATGTACCAATGTATCCACCGTATCCAACGTAAAACGCCAACAAGTGCCCACCCTATCCAAAAGTCGCGTAGAATGCTCACGTGTGTATCATATCAGCCCCATTCCTGTATCCCGAATCATCCCACCAGCCCACTCCCGAAAGCCAGCCAAGCTAGCACGCCCGATAGAACCAGCAGCAGTATCGCAACCACGAACATCGCGACAATGTTCTCAACCGAGTGCCTTACATCATCCGGCCTGGCTACATCAGCCCCGAGTTGACTCTCCTCGTCTTCCTCGCGGGACGCATGCTGGCCGCGGGGTATGTACTGGACGAGCGTGTCGCGGTACGACTGCCGGACTGCGATTGCGTATGGTGGTGGTGCGTCGGCTGGGTAGAAGGCATCGTCGGATTGGTGAGATATTTCCGTTGACTGCGTGTACGTGTGGGAGACGAGGAGAGCGAGAGGGACGTCGTCGGCATCTGGGGTGTGGGGTGGTGAGTCTGTGTATGGTTGGTACGCTGGACTGCGTCGTGACTGCCGTTGGTGTGTTGGTGAAGTGGTTTGACGCGTCGAGGGTGTTGCTTCTGTTGGTGTTGGGGGGTCGTCGTGGTAGGGCTCTTCGTCTGCGTAGGGAGGAGGCGTCGCGGACAGCGGTTTTATTGTTGCTGAGGAGTCTGAGGAGCTGGGTGATGCTTGGTGGGTAGACGATGTCCTTCGAGCTCGTGCCGGAGAGTCGCGATACGGTTCTGTAGTATTATTCTGCACAATGGTTAGCTGACGTGACGCCAGATGAGAGGAGGAGCTGATGTATACCTCCATGATGAGCTTCCAAACCTAGGTACGATGCACTCTCCCACAAGTATGCCTCCAACACTGCCAAAAGAGCGTCCGGTTTCCTCAAGCACTGCCTAAGAAGCTGCTGTAAGCTATGTCACCAAGATGCTGTTGAGCGCGATCAGTAGAGGCTGCGGCACGTCCCACAGCACAGGAGATTAGCAGTCGCGTAACCACAGGCACATATCAAGTTGGAGAGCACAAGGCAGCTGCGACAGGCGTCCAAGGCCTTCCGCAGCAGCGGCGCAGTAGTCCATGGCAGCCCCCATCAGATGGCTGGGGGGTAGCTGTCGGCCATGGATCCGCGCACTCGGAGACATCCATGCGCTGTGACGATTGTGGCTATAGCGGGGGGACGAGTGGGTTTAGCGCTGAGGCTTGATTCCTGGCTACGCCGCTGCCGGGCCGGCAAGGCAGACATCATGACATCGGCATGCCGTTGGATTTGATCGAGTATCGCGAACGAATACAGGCCAATGTCCTACACATTGAAGAAAGCTTCTGCATAGCAGATTCTGTCGACTTCTCCAATTTCTCAACAAGGTTTGCAGCCAACATCAATGCTTCCAAAGTTCCGAAGAGGAGGGACCATCGCACCGCCACAGTTCCGAAACTCTGACCCGCGACGCGACATTGCCTGACATTTCAGGAACGCGTTTCAGGATGAAAATAGAAAGCGTTCGAGATTGCAAGCGCTCGCATAGTGAACAGGTCCACTTAAGTCGACGAATGTCGCGACTGCCTGCACTGTCGGCAAGCAGGACTTGATCCAGCTGCGTTCCAAGGTTCTGTTCAAAGCTCAGAGTGCACGCGCTGTGCACGCTACAAAAACATATAGACTGATAAAGACATAGTAAGCATTCTTTCATTGAACTGATCTCTGCTCTAATTGCACATCCAATCTTACTTTCTGAGATTTCCGAACGCAATGTTTCCTTCAATACCTCTGCGTCTCAGCTCTGTTCATAGTAGTAAATGTTCAGACCCTCTGTCGATCTTGCCACGATATTCTCCTCACCGCCAGAACTTCATACCAAAACCTACAATCATTGACTCGTAGAAGAATCACCTATCTCTGGACTCGGTCTCCTACCTACCCTCCCCAAAGGTTTTCTGGTAGCATTCTTCCTACCTCATCCCGCAGTCTTCCTCTCACGTGTGGTTCACGATGCTTCAGTCTGGACGCGAATGCAAGACCGGTCGCAGACAGACACGACTTACTATGCCCTTCTACTCCTACTTCGACCACGTTGCGGAAGTTCGTCATTGGCGTCGCACTCACTCGGGCACTCGCCGTTTTCGGATCCAGCGTCATGGTCATGGGAAGCCTCGTTAACGACCCTCAACACCCTTCCGCTACCGGACCCACTCTCCGAGGAGTTCGCAGGCGATGTGCCGTTGGTAAGCGAAGGAACGCCGGTGAAGTCTCCGTCGAAATCCGCAAAGTGCGATTGATCAATCGATCGGCTGTCGTTGTCTGAATGTGGTTCTTCGTAGAGCTCCTCGTAGAAACCCAAGTCACTGTCAGCGATGTAACCCTCCGAAGTCTCATCGCTGTCTTGTGTGTAATAACAACCTGTAGGAGCGCGAGCTGGGACAGAGCCTTCCGATGACCTTGACACTGACGCATTACGCACCATCAGCGGCCCCTGACGTACATAGTACGGACAGTTTGGACTGCTTTCTTCATCGCCTTCGTCATCAGCATCTTCGGAAGTGTCATCATCAACGCGATGCGTATTGGTAGCCCACCAGCGCTGAACCCCAATATCTCCATGATGATCGTTCAATAGCGATGACAAGGAAAAACGGGATTCTGCTGGCACCGCCTTGTCGGCCGGCCATTCACCCAGAGAGAACCGTCGAGATGCGAGGGTCGCTTCTGGAATATCGTCAGAAACATCGTCTTGTCTGTCATTGACAAGATATTTACGCTGAGTTCCAATGTCTCCAGTCTCACCATCTGAGGAGGAGCAAAGGGAAAAACGAGCTTTCGCTGGAACAGCCTCTTCGATAGACCATTCATCCAGGAAGAAACGCCGAGACGCTCGGAATGCTTCTGATATACCGTCTGGAACGTCGTGTGGCCCATCGTAGTGATATTTCGGGTAGTCTGGCCATGACGATGATGATGATGAGGTTGAGATGTCATCTGGAACATCGGTCGGGTAGCACAACGATGCTGAAGCAGCGAGCTTCTCGCGGAAATTAACGTCCTCCGCAGCAAAGGACCCGTAACTTGATGATGGCGACGATGGAGAAGAACTTGGTGGCGTACGATTCATGACACGCAGACGCGGATGGGCTCCATCGTCTACCATGTCGGCGTAAGAACGATACTGCGGGCTACCTACCGAAGGTATAGCGTAGCATCGAACATGGGAGTAAGTTATACCTTTGACCATCGAACCTTCCCATCGCTTTGGGTTGGGGATAGGAGAATCTGGACGTGTTGGATGGCGTCCGGGTCTCTCGTATTCGACGTCTTGTAAGTAGTAGGAGTCTGCCTCACCCCCAGGGTGATAACAAGTGGTAGCATCTTGTTGATCCCGGGATTGCGGGCGCGGATGGTCTCGGTAACGGATAGCGTTGGAACGTTGAAGAGGTACTGCAGCCGGAGGGGGAGGTTGTAGCATGGACAGCTTTTCTATCCCGGGAAGCTTGGAAAACACCGAGAAAGGTTCTTCGTCGCTGACGGTATTGTCAGAATGCGGGGATGGCGATATTGAACGTTGCTTAACAACCTCTACAGCACTTTTGAAGAAACTGGCGACAACATCCTTCACCTGCGGCACACAAGCCTGCCGATAATCTCGCCTTTGCTCCTCCCCAAATCCACGCATTCCAGTGTCCTCCCCAGTCGTCTCAGGCACCATAACCATACTATCCAGCGAGCGTCGAGGTTGCTCCCCAGAAATTTTCGGGGCCGTCATATCCAGGCTCAGCCTTTCGCGGAACATTGAGACGCCGGTAGGATGGTTAGCATACCGAGGTGGCGCTGAGGAAGGATAAACACGTACAAATTGGTTTTGTTGGATCTCAGGAACTTTGGCGAGGACTTCGTCGATGTCGTGACAGGCACATTGGGGGCTCTCAGCGTGCTTGTGGTTGCGCATATAGTCGAAAGTCATCATCTTCATGCCGACGACTTTTGGTTGGGGTGGTCTAGTGGTTGGTTCTTCTGTTGGCTTTTTGGTCGGTTTGTTGTTCCGCACCTTCATGTATGCTATAATCTGGGTTGGGCCGAAGGTCATATTGGTGGATGTGTGATAGATTTCGAGGTTGTTGTTGCTGTTAAGTGTTTGACAGTATCGTGAGTCGCGAATTGTTGGCTCAGTGTCTTTGTGGTATGTCTTAGCTAAACAGTGAACTAAGCTTCGGACTTTCACGTTGGTGTTTGCTGCAAGGGGACTATTCGGGAATAGTTCAGATCACTGTTTTATACAGGAGATTGCTTCTAGCGATGTCTGCGAACATCTACGATTTACTCTTGTGCAAGAACGCGGATGCCAAGATGACTCAGACCTCTAACATTGTGAGCATAGAGTGGGTGATTCTGTGGCAGTAAGCCGTTTGCTGCCCAGAAGGGTTTCATCTCAGTAACTGTAGCAGCGCAAAGTAGAGACACGGTATATCAGGTCTGGTGAAAGTCAAATCCGCACGTGGTGACCGTAATTGTGTTAATTAAGTTGATTTTACTAACAATCTTCTGCGGGAAAATGTCTGTAGATGCTCGTAAAGTTGGAGCCTTGGTTCTAACCCGAGTTGAGAGCTAACCCACTGTGTTTCATTTTGCCGTGGCTTCGTAGTCGTATAGCTATAAGATGAAGATAACAAACAGTTCATGTTCATCAAATGGTGTTCCAAATACGAACACAGTATGGGGAATACTCCAAGGCTCGGGTATTTAACGGAAAAAGGATCGACAACTTCAGTGATGCTTGCAAACCAATCGCACAAGATGGTAGTGGTATCATTGGGTTCGTCGCCAAAAGCTTATGCGGTGAGGTTCTCAAGATTATCGGCCTTACTAAGTCGCCTGACGCCCTCCGCTTTCCTGTCCTCAGCAAGAAGGGAAGCGAATTTACTAGCCTTCCTGATCTGAGGACCTTTCCAGTAGAAGACGTAGATTGGTGCCACGACCAAACAAGACAGGCATGCCAGTAGGGTAGTGGCATACTCAGATTTCTGAGGGCTTGAGGATGCAAGGTTATTGAACATAGGCGTGGCGTACATGGCGGAGATACCGGCGAGGAAATCACGAGCGAACGCGTTTCCGCCGGTGGCTGAAGCAGAGTATGGCCCGTAAGCGGCGATCATGTAATCGACTGAGGAGTAGTAGATGGCGAAGTTTGCCAGTCCGACGAGGAAGGAGAAGATCATCGGGGCGATCCAGTGGGTTTGCGGTGGTCCCATACCTATGTCGCCATTAGCTGAAGGTCAATCGATGGTGTTCAGGAGTCAACTTACAAGTCCAGGCAAATCCGAACAGCCCGATGGGCTCGAAGAGCGCAAGCAGAAGAAGCGGTTTCAATCGTCGCTCTGGTGTCATCCAATCGGGACCGTTTTTCTTGCGTAGGTGATCATCGCGCCAGAACCAAGGCCAGTACAGGAAGTAGGTGAAGAAGTAAGCGGCATTGATGGGAATGAAAGCCCAGGCGACTTGAAGCGTGCCGAAACCGAAGTTGTTCGGGAATGTGACGTTGAATGCTTCTAGGAACGTGAAGATCAGAGCGTCGGAGAAACCAGAGAGTAGCGACAGGAGCAAGACGATAGGTTCTCGAACGAACATCTCAAACGGTCGGAGCCAGATCTTTCCGGCTTCCTTCAGCGAAATCCGTGGCGATTTAAGTTCGTTAGGTCCGTAAATGTTGGGATCTTCGCCGGTCTTGCGACGTCTCTTGGCCTCGCGATCGATGAGGATGGTGGCTCGGCTCTCAGGCATGAAGAAGTGTACCGCTTGCACAGCAACACCGAAGATCAACTGAATCCAAAAGTTCCATTGCCAGGACAGGTATTTTTCGATAGGACCGCCGATGACACCGCCGATAGAAGTTCCGATCGTAGACGACAGTACTATGAAGCATAGGGGCCAGTGTTGCGTCTCAGGTTCGTACATATCCGCGATAAGACCAAGAGTCACACTGCCTCCTGCTGTGGAGAGACCACCCTAAGCCTCATCAGCATTGGAAGTACTAAGTACTAAGGAGACTTACAAGAGCTCTGCAGACTATAATGGTGGCGAAGTTCGGAGCGACAGAGCATGGAATTTCCCAGATATTGATGAGAAACATGCTGAGCTGCAGAATCGGCCATCTTCCAAACTCTTCACTCCATGGTGCCCATAGCTCGCAGCCAAAGGAGTAGAAGACCAGATAGATCATCTGCCCAACGCGCGCTGCCTGTGCGCTAATACCGAAATGTTCGGAGATGGGGTTGACGGCGCTTGGATATACCGACGTGTTAAAGTTCATCGAGATCTGAATTCCAGCAATGGAAGCCAAGTACATGGCCTTCTTCCACTTGGGCCATGAGTATGCGAGCTTATCCCAGCACTCCCATTCTCTCAGCTCACGCTTCCCGTCTGCACGGATCATCGACGGGTGGTGATTTCCTTGAGGGTCGACAGGGACATCGGTATGCCACTTCTCCTCCTCGCTGGTCTCGGCTGGGATGCTTGGGCGTCGCGAGGTATCATCTTTCTCAGAAATTGGACCTGACCCAGCTCGGGCGGGCGAAGGGTGCCTGGACTCGCGTTCCGTCATCGTAAGGTGGGCTGGACAGAGAAGCTGGAGATGAGACTCGGGGTGCGGGTTGGGGTATTAAGGCCCTCTTGAACCCAACAAAAGTCCACATTTGGCATCCACCTCCAGAATGACGTCTGAGGAGAAAGCCCGTTGCGAAGAACGACTCTCCACTCAGAGAGGGGCCTGTCACAATGGGATCCATTGTTGCGAACCCATTTCGTACAAAATCGGCCTAAAATTCTACGTTGAGATCGGGGTCATATATGCCATCGACGACATCGACGACCTGAGCGATGAAGTGTGTCTCGGAGTGGGCCTAGCCCAGCAATGTCAGGGTGCTCTTTGGCGGTTGTGTCTTGTGGACCCAACTATGTGACGGTAAGCTTCGTCCATGCAGCGAAAAACTAGTAGTTATGTGCTTAATCCACTTCTTGCCGACGTGCGCTCACCTCCCGACAGGCCAAACGTCCGTGGATCTGCATGCGGCTCAAGTAAAGAATGGGCCAAGTGGGTCGGAAGCCCACAAGTTCTCAAGCAGCTAAGGCGGTCACCCGATAATGCTTGAGTTATTTGGCTTCCTTGTGTCCGTTACGAAGGTAGGTACGCTCGCAAGAGATTTGCCTCGGTCTAATCACGTTGTGACATTGATGAAATCTTTCAAACGGCGGCATGTGAGAAAACAGTGGTACGTCAGGAAGATGATGAGAAAGAGCCTTTGTCGCCTTCAGCTGCGACCTGTAAGCTTGCGGTCTGGAAATTGATCATCATGCCGTAGTCGTCCGATTGGGGTATAGATGGGAAGAGGCTCTGCGGGCGACGGATGCAGGTGCAGGGTGAAAACTCTTAGCTCGGCTGGATGACATCATGGCACAGGAACGCAAGATCCACCCCGGTTGCAACACCAGAGCCAATCCTCACGATGCAATCAGGGCGTTCTCGACCAGACGTTAGAATACCTCTTGGGGCAACCTACCCGGGCTGTTTTGTGCACAGTGTTGCGATGCGTGTTCTACGTTTCCCTACCCGCATGTCTCCACCGCTTGCCATCTGGGCATCTACTGTTCTATGCACGCAGCTCCGCCTGCATGCTGCTTGGCATGGCATTATATGCTAGTTTTCCTAGGCTCCTCACGTCTCGATGTAGAAGCGTATCCATCATTCGATCTAGATCGTGCGATATGATGGCTAGACCACCTGGGCACCTTTCGCCAAAACCTTGGGACAGCGCTCCAAGGTTTCGATCAGCGGCTCAGTAGTTATGTGCTCTTCCGTTAGCATGTAACAAGAAATTATGCGCTATCTATTGTTTCGATATAGACGACAAGTGCAGGGTAGAATACTCACAATGGCTAGAGATACCCGACGGATCGAAACAAGATGATAATATACTCTCCGGAGTGAAAGCTCAGGACACTAAACAACGAAGAAAGATAACATGCACTATTAGCATCCAAACGCCGAGAGATCTTGAAGTCTGACAGCGTGGCAACCTGCAGGAGATTTATTGTCGTTCATCAGTTGACTGAGCCCCGAAGATAGCAAGGCCAACCTAGTATGTATTCATTTCTGAAAGAAACATCATCCCAGCAGTAACACCCCGACCGAACTCCACAAAATCCCATCTTTCACGAAAGAAGTCAAGGAAAAGTTTATACGAGCAATCAATATTCGTCTTCATTATTTTCTACCAATTTCTCAAAGCAAAAGCGCCAATGACCGCAGACCCGATTGCAAAGCCCAGCTCGGATCAATGCAAGTCATGCAAATAAACGTGGTATCACATAAACTAGAAAATGCCATTCTTGCATACTTCCTCCAACAGTCCCGTTCATTTTCATAACGATAGATGAACCCCCCGAAATCACACCAACAAAAAAGAAGTTTCGAGTGATCCACCTTACAAGACAGCGACAGCGGCAGCGATAGCAGCTGCCGCCGCACCAATGAAGCTCTGCGCGCTGAAACCACTGGCAGCGGTGTTGGCAGTCTGCTGGGCAGGAGCACCGCTTGCAGTACCGCTAGCACCACCACCTGCAGCGCCGCCGGAGGTGCCAGAGGTGCCAGAGTTCGCGCCGCCACCGGCAGAGGGCGAGGTGGGTGTGTTTCCTGAAGCGCCACCAGAGCCAGCTGCCTGGCCAGGGGACAGGTTCTCAGCGGCTTGAGCCGCGAGGGCTACGAAGGCTTCCATTGTCTTGTTGCCGGATGCGGGACTGTTGGATATAATGTTAGTGAATTGATGTGGATTATAGAAGAGAGTGTGTAGCTTACGCGTTGATGGCACCGACCATACCAGCCTGGCAATGCTTGCCTTGGGAGCAGTAGAACCAGACGGGCTTCGCGTCTGCGACGCGGATGGTGTAGGTGAGAACTTGGCTTGTGGCGGTTAAGGAGGCGTTGGTGGGCATGAAGCCGGAGAAGAAGGCGTCGGTCTTGTTGGACATGATGTTTTGGATGGGAGTGCATGGGTTGTCGAAGGTGGATTGGACGACGGAGTGGTTCTGTTAGGGTATTGTTAGTTGAGAAGGTGGAAGCAGCGAATATCGTGGAACTTACCTTGGGGTGGAATTGGAACTGGACAAGATCTCCGGGCTGTGCCTTGACGTTGGAGGGAGAGAAGGTCAGGCTTCCGTTGGGGCCACCGACTTGAACTACGTGCGTCATGACCATGCCTGCCATTGCAGCCGGCGTAGAGGTCGAGACGCTGCCGAGTACTGCTGACGAGAGAGTTGGCTTGGTAGCAGAGCCCATGGACATAGACATGGAAGATTCCTGTGCGCACGCGAGGCCGAGGACGGCGGAGAGGATAGTTGCTGTTGAGAAGTACATGCTGACTAGTGTATGTGGTATTCGTTTGCGTAAAGGCGATTTGGTATTAAGTATGCGATTCGTATTGCGATGCTCGTCTCGTCAAGAGAGTGGATGGGCGACTAGCGCTTTGGGTCGTGAAAAGTAGCAAGCTGGACTAGCCAGTTGTATATTAAAATTGTGAAGAGGTAAGTAAAGAAAGATAGATGCAAATGAAAATGCAACACAAAGTGACAAGAAACGTGGGATGCAGAGATGAAGAAAAGAGAAGCCTGAGGTGACGGCTATAGGGCCATCTTAAGGCATGAAAGATTTGCATGCGTGGCCAGGGCGGTTACTAGCTATTCCGATACATGGGGTTGGTGTTGCGACACGTTAGAGGCGAGAACTGCTTCAGCCTCCTGGTTCGGCTGAGGACCCTGTATGTGAGGCTTAAAACGGGTATATTTGTCTGTAGCTAACAGCGCGACCATCATCGCTGTGAGGTATTTGCAATATGTAAAGAGCACACGGTAGATATTCGATAACAAAGTAGCGCAGTGCGATGCAAAGCAAGTATACATGCTTATTTTTAGTGTTGCGTTGACGATAACGCGATGTTGGTGTTCGTCAAGATGTAGCTGGGGTGTTGAGGGTGCGACGCGCTCCACGTTCCGGGTGTGTTTGAGCCCAACCCCATGATGCTTCAGACCAGGCGCGGCAACGGTAATCTCAAGGCCGATCAAGCCAGGCAACCGGAAGATCTGTTTGCGAGATTGTGCATTACACGTCGGTCAGGCTGTGCAGTAGGAGTAACAGTCAACGACAAGATCTTGGAAGCCAGGCGTCATGTGGTCATGTTTCAAACATGCCAGGCTGACGTGTCCTTCATTTGTTCATAAGTCCCTTCGGCCTGACTTCTGAAAAGTAGTTCGTCCTGAAAACGACAGATGTGTACATGTCCATGTTTCGGCCTTTTGACATCCCCACCTACTACTACCACGAGGCTTGGCCGTGCGCCGAACACCCGTCTTCGCTCGTTATGACTTGCGATGTTCCAAAAATATCCTTGCGGTTCTGGCATCCAAGGATAGGCTGCGAAGAGCGCATGTATGATACGGCGCAGTCCTCGAAACCACCGCTATGGGCAATGTGAAGGTCCCCGTCGGTCGCCGCCTGGAGCAGCATTCTAACCCATATCCAAACAACTTGCATACACCCAGATAGTAGCTGGTTGTCTTTCTCACTCCGTCGCTGGTCTGCGCAGGATCATCGCATCTTCATGCGTACGGCACTCTCAGAAGTCCAACACAAGTTGGGGTGCCAGCTTCTCGAGATCTTCCACCTGGAGAAAACCATCGATGCTAGCTCCATCCTTTGCCGCTGCCTTCATTTCGTCCTGACTTCTGAGGAAAGCTTCCGTGACAAAGATGTCAATGTACTTGCCCACCAGCCTCATCGCACCCGTCTGTATCTGTATGTTCGGGTCTTCGAAGTTCTCGAGAAGTAGGCGTGCAAGGAGCGCTCGGGATATGACGGGTTCGGCGAGGGCAGCGTTGGCTGCTGCTGGCGGCGGCGGCGGCGGATTGGTAGTGGGTGCATCGTCCATAATGTCGTCGAAGTCGGAGATGTTCAGATCCTCCGCGAGCTCTTCGTCCTGATCATCGTCGGACAGATCAATAACATCGGCGGCTGGTTGAAAGGCAGTCTTCGAGGGCGCAGCATTGCCCTTCTTTGTGGCGCCTGTCGCGCGGGATGTCGTCGCTGGGGCGCGTTTCGTCGCGGTGGATGCTTGGGAAGGCGCACCCACGGGTCTTGGTGGATTGAAAGACGGGCCTTTCCGGCGCGCGGCGTTCGCTGTCGCATTCTTGGGTGGCATTTCGAGGCGGAATAGAGCCTGAGTTTCGTTGCGGGCGGTCAATGGAGTCACGAAGCGTGGAGTGAGGCAGCGCTTGATGTTGGTGATGGTACCCGTGCGATCCACAACACAAACACGCTGCGCGCTCTCACGTGTGCGTCATAATCCGCAGCAACAACACTCTGATACCGAGGTACTGGAGCATTTGGTCGCTTCCATGTCCCCAAAGAGCTCCTCATGTTCATCCCAATGCCGTGGACCAAGGCGCCCCATCTCATATGTGGTTATTCGTTCGGTATTGCGCACCGTCCTCGGTGCTGCACAGCCTTCGAGATGGGCGCCTTATGTTGGTTCATCACATCTCGCAGTATTCTGCTATACCACACCGCTACGGGCATGTACACCGTCACAGCCGAATTCATTCCGGAGACTGTCTCTGAAAGCCAAGCCAACTTACATCAACCGACCGTTGAGCAGGTGTAAGAAACAACGTTATACGATCACGGAGAACACAGACCATCCTTCGTTTACGCGCCACAAGCCCACCTCAAAAGCTTGACATTTCATCGTAAGCCAGAAAACGGGCCGCACGGTGGCGCCGTTCATCTCGTATTGGTAATTACGGTTACTTGCGTAGTGTCCGCATTGGATTGAATACTCACTATGGAGTATGTAGACTAATGAAGTCGATGTAATCGTGACTTGGTAATGGCGCGGGGAGGCGGTCTCATCAAGACAAAGAAAGAGACCAGCCGTTGGACTAGTTATCTGGTTGAGAGGCTGAGAGCCAATTGTGGGGAAATGAGATCGAGGTGGTACTATGCTGCCGGTAGGGTACGTTGTTACACGGCGTTGGCAGCAGACATTTCGAAAGGGTCTTGACGTGCAGAGCGCCTGACACATAATACATATATGGAGCTGTGCCACGAACAAAGAGGATTTTGTTAAGCCAGGGAGGTTTCTGCGCACTGCGTTCCGATTGGTGGTGGTTTACTGTGGATTGTTACAGTCATCTCGGGAAAAGTCGAGGCGCAGCGAACATGGTAGGAGCAAAGTTGGGCGGTTGGCTATCGCCCAATTCCTTACGCAGACGTGGCAGAGAAGGAGCAATAGCTTGAGTCGTTATCGAGGTACGGTCCATTGAATATAAGTGGAGATTGCTAGATCCCGTCGCATTGGGGTCGAGACTGGGACAAACAAGAACTAGTACCTGCATCAGCTGTTTATCTCCCGCTCCTTTGCACACAAATTATTTGGGTACCCATGATGCGTGGAAGTGATTGAAGGATGAATGTCGGTGGGTGTCTCAGTGATTGGTCTGTGACGCGTGCAGTGTCGTGCCTTTCTCGAAGTGGAAGGCATACGCACATCAGTGACCATGTCGGCGTTGGAGTCTGGTATGGCTTCGCTCGGCAGCGCTCCGAACTGCGGAGATGGTACGTGGCCACGACATGTGCCAGTGACTGCGCCGATGCTGTGCAAGCCAGGCGGCTCCAGGTAAAGTAGCGGATGCTGCTTCTTCCCGCCCGCGTACCTCCTGACAAAAGAGTGCAGGTAGGCCAGAGACATGGCACGAGAGGCGCGCCCGTCAAACGAAGGTCGAGACTCCGGAGCGAGCGTCCACGAAGAGCGGCTCCAGGCTAGGCTGGGTTTGGCGGGGTAGGAGGAGTGGCCGGCGATGGGGTTAGTGCGCGGGCTAGGAGCCAGCGTCAAACCTCGATTGAGTGGACCAGAGAGGTGTTGCGTTGTCGCTGAGATTGAGGCCAACGTCCTGGACCAGGGGGGACGGGGTCGCCCTTTCCCTTGTGGGCGATGCTATTTTGAACTGGCAGTCACAGGGAGTGCTGAGGAAAGCGCAGTCGTCGCAGCTGGCAGGTGCGGGTGGTGGCGCTCATGGAGCAGCAAACATGGCTTTCCTGATAGCTGAATCATGCTGGAGTCGCCGACGCTTGACGCATAACCAGATAAGGATGCAGCGCACAGCCGTCTTCAGCCAGGCCTCATGTCAGATACCCAGTCCGACCGTGTGCAGGCGCCCAAAACTGCATGGCGGGCGGCTGGCCCGTGTGCAGATGATGCTGCAACTTTGAGGCCACACCCCTGTCGCTCTACCCGAGATGCTTGAGGCTTGGTGCTGCTTGGTGCTCAAGTGCACTGGCATGCGGCGACTATGGGAATATATCATAGAGTGGTTCGCCGTGCGCTGCCCAGGGCCATCTCCTGCATCTCTCCAACCAGTGCCTTCCTTTTGCAACTGCGGGGTGTTTGCTCAGTCGTCATCCATTCCTCAACCCCAGGACTGCCACCGCCCATCACTTGGAATCCTGCCGCACCATCTTGCACCACACCGTCAATCGATACACGGACTCCCCACGGACTCTCTCTCAGTTTACGTTTCCTTCAGGGCGCTGATAACCAAACGCCACCGCGTCTCAATTCGGACCCTGTCTCACATTGCAAGATAGAGAAGCGCGCCGGGATCTGCGCTCTTGCATGTGCACCAACGCCTTTATCCATATCTAGGCAAATCCCATAGCAGCTCGTCCTGAGGATTTTCTGCGCGACGCCCCAGACAGATAACCCTGGTCGTCACTCTTATATCCTCAATCCCCCATCGTTTGCTCTTCCTCGTCATGCCCCATTCGGTCAACAACTCCACCTCGACCCAAGCAAAGATGTCACGCCCATCGTCCACCTCGACATACTCCGGCAACAATGCATTTTCCCAACAGGCAGGCACCACCCTCCTGTCGCCAGAGAAAGCCAATGGACAGCTCTCACCCTCGCACTCGCAGTTCTCTTTTGCATCGTCGCCCCAGTCGGTCCAGGACATCGAGCACGACTCCCGGAACCGCGCTCCGAGTGCCGCCGCGGATGAAGTAGGCCCCCTACGGCCCATGACTTCGCGCTCGCGTGCACAGTTCTACGAGGATCAATTCTCCTACAAGGACGGTATGGCGTCGTCGGCTCGCGACCGTGTGACCAAGGATGCCCCCATTGTAGCCGAGCTGCGGACAAACGTTATCGTAAGTTGTTATTCTGCCGAGCTCCACTCTTTTGGCAAATCACTAACCCGGCGTAGATCAAAGACGAATACACCCTGGTCACCGACCTCTCGCACCACCTCTCGACGCGCTATCAAAGGCCAGAGGCCTCCATCATGATAACGGTCAACCACTCAGCGTGCCTGCTCCTTGGTGGTTCTTTCGAGCCCACCTACATGCTCACTATTAACGCTCTGCCTGTGCAACTGCAACCCACGACCAACAAACGCAATGCTGCCCTGATTCAGACATTCATGGCCGAGTCAATCGGCGTTGCGTCGGAGCGTGGCGTAGTCAAATTCGTACCCATTCCCGAAGAGAGCCTTGCCACGAACGGCATGACTATCCTCGGCGAAATTGAGCGCTTGGAGCGACAGCAAGCCGAGGAGACTGGTAGCAACATCAAGCGTGCCATGACCAAGAGCTCGCGCAAATCTGGTGTATTCAAAGCGAAGAGCACCATACAGCTCTCTCGTGGTCTATCCAAGGCTGACCATGGCGCAAGACCAGTCGTCACCACCGAGGTTCCTCACGATGCATCCCGTGATTCCGGAGTAGCTGTCAACGAGAAGATTGACGACAGCAGGATCGTCAACAAGAAGTCTGAACCCATACTCTCCAAGTTCGGCAAGAGGTCCGCCTCTGCCGCGCACCCAGCGCCGCCTCCTATTCCTGCCGACAGGCCTGCGACTTCAGGAATGACCAAACGTAAGAGCTTCATGAGCGTCTTCCGCAAATGATCATCTACGAGCACTCGCTACATCGACAGCATTGTCTAGCAGTCATCCTCTAATCAGCAAACGAAGACCTAGCATTCACCATCTCGATTTTCAACGGCGTTCCACAAGGCACATGAAACCACTCTCTAGACTGAGTCGGCAACACAGACTCACCTGCTGTACTCCACCATCACGGCATCTGTCGGACTTTGCATACGGCGCTACACATGGGCATGGTCGAGTCGCAGAGTGCGACAAAACTGCATTACCAGGCGTTTGGGGTGCGACACATCACATGCTGTTCATACGAATATACCCTTCTGCATTTCCTTTGTCGCAAAGCTCTAGTGAGCATTTGGGCTACATAGAATCATCAATGACACATCGCTGCCTCAGTACATCAGAACGTCTTCTCAGTTTCTTACACATGCTGCTGATCTGCACTTCGCCGAGGAAGCACCTGCGCTTCACTCACCGCAATGGTGCCGTCTCCCGTGCCGTGAGCGCAATCGCAGACCCACAAGCCTGGATGCCCGCTCGACTACGCCATTGAGATCTTCATTCAGTCCAGATCCTCACAGATCTTTGCCATTTCAAAGTTGTCTCGGTTGCGCGCGCCCCATCTCAGATCGACAAACTTGCCGGACGGTCACTAACAAAGAGAAGGGCCGGACGTCCACCTGCCGCGTGGCTAGACCAGAGACTACCAGACCGCCCGTGCTTGCCAAACGATATCCAAGCCGGCAACAACTTCACTCAGTCTCACCGCGTATCGCGATGTCCGTTTCCGCACTTCATCGCACCCATGTCTCAGCCCAACGTCAGCAAACAAAGCCCACGTAGAAGCCCATCAATGCTGCCAGCCTATCATTGAGACATGTATGCCTCCTAAGCCAAATAAGCGAACACCACCAGCGCCCATCGCTGTCACCGACCAAGCATGACTGACCCGAAAACACTGGACATGCGCAGACATTCACGTTAGCCGCCTGCCGCCCATTCTGCATTTTACTTTTTTCAGCTCTCCACGATTTGCTAGCAAGTGGATCTAGATGCGCCACAGCAATCGCTGGTGTCGGAGAGATGTAGCGTGGCGACTAGCGTGGTGCGGGAAGGCTAACTGGTAGCTTCGGGCGGATAGAATATGGCCATGTCACGATTGTTTCTTCAGCTGCGAGGGAATGTGGCGTTGGTCCAGCCCTACGATGTCGGTAAAAGGTTTTCTCTCTAAAGGCTTAGAGCGGCAGTTTGGAATTTACGAATGCGTTAGTGTGGAGATGGTGGTGTTGTGCCACGTTTTGGTGGGCTGGGCTAGTTTCGATGCGAGGGTGTTGGCGTGTATGGGACATTGATTGTGCATGTCTGGAAAGAAGGGTCTGACCGGTTGAAACTCATGTAAAGATCGCCTATGGTAGATGTGGGTACTAAGAAGCGGGGGCCTTGCGGACAGTAAGCATGAATGTGAAATTTGCTATCGGCGCCTTGACAGTGAAGATCAGAGCAAGGTTTTGAGCGATCAGTGATCAGCAAACTGCGCAACTCTGCGCATCTCGCCCAGCACCACATTGATCCTAGATTCCACGAATTTGTCGTCTTCTTCATTTACTCGCAACGTCGTCCCTGTCGACTAAGACATGGATTCCACTCTCTCAATTTGCATGTCAGTTTATCCGCATCCTTCACTCACAGAATGCTGGCTTCCGAACCAATCTCATCACAGTAATTCGCTTCCTTCCACTTCGGAAGTTTGCGCTCCCATAGCTTGGCATCGTATGCGTTGCGCAAATCACCCAAGCGAGAGCTTGGTTGAAGTCGGAACATGCGCGACTGAATGATGCAGATAAGATGAAAGGGATCAGCGAGAACTGCGTAGGCCAAGAGTACATCGGTGTATACAATAGTCCATCATGATCGCGCACTGGTTGGTAGAGTTCGCCGGGAGTTCATTGGAACGGTGGGAGCTATGGTGATGGATTCAAGATTCATGGGTTCGTGACTGACGATCTTTCTTCGGAGTTGGGGGTTATGACGTCATGGTTTATGACGAAGCTTGTGCGCTATCTTTGTTGCTTTTGATCGTCAACCACGATCATGAAGTGTAGTCTAATAGTTGCGAACCTTTGGAGGTGGTTCGGATGACGAGGGGAGTTTCCTCGATGTTGGAGATGCCGAAGTGGTGAGGAAAGATAGGATAGTTGGTCAATTCACAAAGGTGTCATACTGTCTCATTTCTGCATTCGCTATCTCTTTGTAGATTCAGTCCAATCCCCATTCACATGTCTCTATCTGTCAACCCAAGACCACCTGCCCGAAAACCCTCCAACTAATTCATTAGTAAATTCCGGAATAGTCCCCAACAGCAGACTTCCCCTTCTCTCACAATCTTCATCTACCTCACGCTTCACGCTACATAAAACCCCATGCGCCAACTTCATACTCTTTGCCTCCAACAACTCCACCACAGCTACCTTGTTCTCCTTCATCCTCATCCTAGCCATCGCTTCCAGTTTCTTCAACAGAAAATCCTTGGTTTTGTAGCGCTCGCGCCCGGTAACTCCTTGCATGAGGCGGTAGCACAGTGCAAGCCATCTGTGCAACGGTAGCCAGGGTTCCAGGCCGTTGGCTTTGTTGTCGATGGCGGAGATGAGGGTCGTGACTTCTCTATGCCAGTCTGAGGGAGAAGTGTGATACCAGCGGTATTTCACTTTGAGCAGGCGGATTGAGCGCGCGTATTCTTCGGAGAAGTGGGCTAGGATGTCGGTTTCTGGTGTAGGAATGGGAATAGGACATCGGATCAGGTCTGCTTTGCAGATCTCGGGGGTGAATGGGTCGACTGCGTGTGTGTAGGATTCGTTAGGGGCAGTGTTGGTGTGAGTATCCTCTTCGGGTGATCCATCTGGGCCGTTGTGCGTCTTGTTCCATGCGTCGACTTCTTTCAGCATCTCTGCCAATTTTCCGTCGGGGTCGTTGGAGTGATCGAAGATGCAATCTGGCAAAGATGCGAAAAAGCCCGATGCGAAAAGCTCGTCGAAGTCAACATCAATGTCCTCGAGCCAGTCGACGTCTTCTGCACACTCCTCAGGGTTCTCGATTCCCTCGTCATCCGCGAAACCTGTACTTGCCAGAGACTCGCTATGTGCCGATCCGTCCGAAGCCTGATACCCATCGAGTTGCTCGTTCAACTCATCTGAAATCGAATTAGCTTCCACGCCCATGCTCATACACATGTATTCAGTGGAAGGGGTACTTACTTCCACGCCCTCTAGTTCCATAACTGCTAGCATGTCAGACATGATAACATCCTCGCCGGCTTGTCGCTCCTCTAGGGATGGGACAGACTGCTCATCTTCCGGAGACAGACCTGCAGATGTATAGGCGGGTTGCATGGAGGTGGGGGTTTCTAGAATCGTAGCATCGATGGACCCGTGCGCTATTGTAGGCGCTGGGTTTACGACTTTATCTTCATCGATCTTGTTTCTTCCGTGAAAACCCTGGTGGGCCTGGCCTTTTGTTTGAACGTTGCAGATATTCATCTTGTACATGTATAGGTTTACGTCTCGAGATATTTGATTGTGTTGTGCGTTTCTTCTCTGTTGTACATTACGCCCCATTGCAGGCAGAATCTGGTATAGCTGGTGTAGTGCTGCATAGTGTAGTTCCTGTGAATCAATGTAGTCTCACAACGCAGGAGATTGTTTCGAATGAAGAGACACGGTGATTGCGGGATGTGAACACTACACGACTATAGTGCCACGCGTTGATGAATTGTGTAGCTTCACCGCGAAGCTTCATGTACGGTCGAAATACTGAATTGGGTCTGCAGCCAGTACCTTGTCTAAGTTATAGATATGACTCGCCAGTCTCCCTGTTTCTCCTTCTTATACCGTGCCAATACCCCTAGCCACATATCAATACGGTCCCCGAGTTTGTTGGGCGCATAATTTGCAACTGATACTAGTGGATAGCAATTGTCGTATCGGAAACGCAATATTAGCGGCGATTGGTACCCCCTCAAAACCCAGACCTTGTTGTACCGTTGAGAGTGACGGGAGGATCCGCCACTGAAGCCGCTCGAAGTTGCGTAGAAGTACCGTTGGAATCGATCATCGTATGAAACGTTGTCTAATCTATCGATCAAGATACTGTCGACTTGCAAGGCATGCGAAAGTCCACGACGCGTTTCAAGAGTGTGAAACGAGCCACCCTTCTATGAAGTCTTCGTTTTTTGAGTTTTTGTAAATGAGATCTATCATGCGATATTGGTGATCGCGATCAACAACCTCGGCATGGTGCTTGTCGTCTATACGGCCATAATGGGCATGGAGCATAGGATGGTCTTTCGTCTCGCGGATCTCGTCAACCCCACGGGAGTGGACGTCTCTCGCTAGCTGAATGAGCCAATTCATGCCTCTCGGATCGGTCTCCTCGGTCGATAAACAAACGAGGAATTGTTCTGCATACTGGTAGATTTCGCGCATGAACCGAACCTGATGTGATCTCTCGTTGATATCGTACTGATTTATCGAGATTTGATCGATCCACAGTAGACACACCCTGTCGCCGTATGTAGCTCTCCAGGAGTGACGGACTTCCTTCAGAGCATGTGCCAGATTTGCGAACACATTGAAGGGCGTACCGTTGAGAATTATGGGCTCTGTATCCTTTGCAGAGCCAGCGCAGTATGATGGAGCCGTGTATTGTCCTTTCAGATCGAGCAAAGGTGCACCCGGGAGTAGTGTGCATTCGATAGGGTCGTCTTCAGTGCCAGGCCAGAGTTAGACAAGGCAGATCTCTTGCTGCGCAACATCCAGGTCTGAGTACAGGCTACTCGTAAGGACCGCGTCGTTATGGGGTGTGCAAAAGATGTCATGGCCAGGCTGGAGCCCGTCAGACTGTAGAAGCACTGTCGGCTCTTCCGCCATGACCGAGTAGCGTTCGACCCTCCGACTAGGCTGGCACGATGGGGAGAGTGGAGAAGATTGCGACGACGCCTCGTCCGCTTACGTGCGAGCGACTGTTCACCCCACATCCCCGCTTCCTTCGTTGCTTCCTCCCACGCCAACTTCCACGTGCAAAATCCCAGCGAACCACGACGGCGTGCAACACACCATTTGGTTTCTAGTTCTCTTATGGATCGCGACAGGGCTTACGGCAGAATGTCACAGATGACGCGAGACGGGATGATACGTGTCGCCTCAAACTCGCGACAGGGCTCGAGTTTTCGAGCCTTCGTCCTAAACACATTCGGGTTGCACCATCGATGACGTCCCCAAACTTTTGGAATCGCTTCGAATTGCATTTGGAGGACAGGGAGATATGTATAAGAGCTGTGCGAGATCATTACGGAGACTGTGTAGTGGAAGAGTTTGAGGAACAGGGTTATTGCAGCTACACCCTTCTGGTTACGCCATCAAAAGTCGCTTTTGCGGAGAAAGACACGCAACGTCAGGCTACCGCCGACGTGAAATGTGAATATGTATCCACTCTCATCGTCCAGTTTCGGCCGCCGCAGCACGCCCTCGACCTCGATATCGGACGCGCTGCTAGCATGACGTATCCAAAACTGGCCCCAACCATCAAGGATCTGGATTTAGCACTACCCAGAGGCATATGCGCATATGAGATGGAAAAGTTTGATGGCACGCCGCTGAGCCGAGTACTACGACATCAAGACTCACTCGATGCCAGCGCAGGAAAGCAGCTAGAGCGCCTCGTCACAAGTTTCGCGGATCTTATTGTACAAAGCTGGCGCTCACCACAAAAAGTACACTGTATAATCAGGACGGTACGAGCCGACTCACCCATGGATGAGCGTCCATCGATGCTCGCTCAGTGTCGCGGCAAAGTCGGCTCAACGCTCATTTCTAGACTTGAAAGGCTGGCTAGTGAGCTACCAGACGCATGTCTACGCAAAAGAGCGAGAGAGACAATGCGCGCGATAAAGCGAATGGAAGACTACCCAGTAGTACTCAATCATGGGGACCTAATCCCGTCCAATATTCTGATCGACCACAACACCTGGGAGATCACAGGCTTGGTAGACTGGGCAGAGGCGGAGTACTTACCTTTCGGGACCTGCCTGTACGGACTCGAGCATCTCCTCGGGGATATATCACCAGCTCTCCCCGAATCTGCGCCCAAATGGTCCTACCTCAACGGTGCGATGGAACTTCGTGAGCTGTTTTGGGCGCGCTTGATTGACGCCGTACCGGAGTTGGAAGCTCGAATGGACGACGTGAGAGTGATGAGAGATGTGGGTGTGCTGCTTTGGCATGGCATCGCTTGGGATAATGGTGCTATCGATCGCGTCGTCAACGATGTGGATGATGTGAAAGAGCTGGTCAAACTTCGCGCGTTTCTGACCGCAGCATGAGAGTAGCCGCGCGAGGCACCAATGGCGAGCGCATGAGGTACCATTGTCATTCCTTTTCCCTCTCTTGTCGTTAAGTCCCACTTTTCTTCCTTTACGATGTGTCATGCTGAGATTTCGTTCTCGCTGTTGATCGCAGTGCGTCGCGGCTTCCTCTCAAACAGTGGATGTCCCTTCCCAAACATAGTGCACCTTCTATATACACGTAGGCAACATCACATCTTTGTTTGCGACTCATCACTTCATTTTCCCATTCAGGTCTTCGCCACTATTGTCGCTCTGCTCTACTTCACCTCATCGATAAAAGGAGAGTATTCAGAGATTACGTTCTCATCTTCACCACCCTAATCCGGCACAGTGCTGTACCAATTCGGCGACGTGATAGTTCGGAACTGGTGAGAAGACTCCAGAATTAAGTGAGCGGTGAGGATCTGACGAACCAAGACAAACAGTGAACAATATGGTCTCCACTCGGCGAGGCATTGCGAACGCAGAGCAAGCCACGGCTGGCACTGGACGGTCCAGGCCACTCCGACAGGCAAGCGACACTATACATATTATCGTTCCCAGCGTCAAGCAGGTTGAGATAGCCCCGGAGAAGCGAAAAGTCCCAAGCACTCCTCCTAAAATGGCCCTCTCCGGCAATATTAGTGAGCATGATCTCAGTCTCACGTCACCAAGCACCGGCGAGTCTCCAGAGGTACTCACCATCATGACGCCGAAGAAACGACAAGGCTCAACTGACCCCACCGATCGAATTGTTTCCTCCGCCCTGCGAAGGCTCGCACCAAAGCCTTCCGCAAACATGAGCGGCAGCAGCCACAACCCGATCATTGTCAACGAGACTTCATCACCTCCACGGCGAGCAACGCGAGCGCCGAAGCGCAGACAGAAACACAAAAAGCTGTCGGAACCGCATCAATTCATCGGCAACGGATATAGGGAACTGTACAGCTACGGTGTCTCCAGACCGGCATTGGCAGCCATGCCTGCGAACGGCAGCACATTCACGGGGCACCAGAGCCATGATATCTATCGCATGATAAGCGCGAAGATCACTGCAGCGCCCGATACCAGTCCAAACGCAGCATGGGGACGGCACACGCTCAATGTACCTTTTGAAGTACAATATCCACTGTCCGCGCCGGTCCTTGCGCAACACGCGCCACATTATCACCCATCATTTGCGCAACACTATCATGTCCAAGTTCCTTCTAGCACATATAGCTATCCAGTGATTCCCTCTCAGAACGAAAACTCGCTCCGTAGGCGAGCTGTCCATCACATCCAAGAGTACTCACGAACTTCGCCACAGAAGAGGAAGCTGGTCGATGCTGACCTTGCTGAAACCAGCGATGATGAAGCCAGAGAATACCAGCGGCACGCTCGACCGCAATCGAGCTGTTCAACTACTCAATTGAATGTCACACGTGCATCCAGGGCAGATAACGTTCACCAACATAGAAATCACAGGCCAACGGTACATCCAGACCCAGATCCCAATCTCCTCGTCAGTCATCTCATTGAGCACACCTCACTTATCACATCCTTGTTACAAGTCTATATTTACTCTACAGACAAGAAGGGTCTACAGAATGATATATCGATGATGGTTCAAATTCAGAATCAATATATGACTGCTTGGATGGAGACCGACTCGCAGAACTCGCGCAAGCGAATGAAGAGCAACAGTGATGGTGCTGCCAGTCTGGCGAGCCACCCACAGTCTACCACCACTCCTACAATGAGGATTCAGAATGAAAAGGACCATACATTGCGACAGGTTCTCTCCGCCGATGCCGACATGTGGCAAGATGGTACAGGGCATGGTGTCGTGGATGCGTTCGCAGTCGCACCTGCATCATCACCGGTAGCAAGCACCTCTGATGGAAAGGTAGCTGCTCCCACGAGTATGCTTTCGAGTGCGACAAGGCATCGCCATGATATTCACAAAAAGATTGGCACTGACCACACTGTCGTCAAAACCCGACGACAGTCGATCTCGGATCCGGGAGCAACGTCGACGAGGCACAAGGGTATTCTCATCACACCTATTCAACGAGGAGCACCCCAGACACTCAACCAGATGTCGAAGGTGGCCAAGGATAACCCCAGGAGTATGATCTACACGAGTCACCCGTATACTCCTTCCAAAGACCTGAGAACTCCCATCAAACTACCTCCCCGCTACGCCGGCTCTCCGGTCACACCAACTACAAAGGATGACGCTTCTTCTCAACATGGCAATCGCGAGCCTTCTTCTCACCGCAGCAAGCATATCACCTTTCTACAACCTGCTCGCACCTCTGAGGCCGGCGAACTCCAAGTCCCTAGTAACGGCGACGCTTCACGCAGCTTCCACAGTGAAAGCTCAAGCGACTTGCGTACCCGAAGGCCAGTTTTCCGCTTTGAACGACGCATTGCTGGTGAGGGCGGGGAAGCTGAAGCGGAGATTGTTCCGACACAGACTGTGGAGGAATAAGGGTCATGGGGTGATGTGAATGCTGGTGCTATACAACGAGACAAGAGTACGTCCGTCCTGTTGGGAGCTGAGGGGCATCTGGGCAGAATGTACATGTAAGTTCGATGTAACATGAGGGACAGCATTCCCTTGTATGATTACCTGGGGCAAGTGGCGAAAAGAAAGCGGGATGGGCGTTGAAGGTGCGATTCCCGGCATCATGTTAGGTCCTAGGACTACTTAGAACGGGATAACTCATATTTCATGATCCAAATTCTATGTGGGTATCAAGTTACTTTTCCCTTTTCCATTCGTCTCTCATGGAAGAACGTGCCATTTTCAATCCATCTAACACATAAAAATGCATAACTCAACATAAACCTCACCGACCCGTCCATCTACAACCCAACTTAATTTCCCTTATTTCCCCTCTTACCACCCCTCTTCTTCCTCTCCACATGTCCCTGCATCGTCTTCTTAACATCACCCAAACTCCTCTTATTCTTAAACCTCGCCTTACCCAGCGTCATGAGGAAGTTCTTCTTACGCGCCTTCTCCTTGTTCGTCGTACTCTTACCCTCTTCCGCCTTCTTTGCCTGATGCTTCGCTGCTTTGGAAGTGTGGTTCGTCTCGCGGTCTGCCCTGGCAAGAGCGATCTTCTCCTCTTTGGTGTTCTTCTTGCCGATCTTCGCGGCGAGTTCAATGGTTTCGGCGGTGATAGCTTCGTCGGCGTGGCGGGCAGCGAGGAGTTGGGCGCGCTTGGAGGAGGAGGCGAGGGAGGATGTTATTGTGCTGGAGGCGCGGAGGGCTTGGAGTTGTTTGAGGTCGGCAGGGGTGAGGATGGTGGTTGTGAGGAGTTTGGATAGGGACTTGGCTTCTGGTTCGGCGCTCTTGGAGTTTTCCTTGTCGTCTTTTGATGGACCGGGGGTTGCGCTGTCGAGCTTGGCCTTCTTTGCGGGTCTTTCCTTCTTCTCCTTTTCGTCTTCGGAGTCGCTGATTTGGATATCTTCGCCGTCGCTCTCGACATTGATCCAGCCGCCTGAATCGTCGCTGTCACCTTCACTCTCCACGTCCCACTTCTTCCAGTCGTCCTCATCATCCAGCTCGACATCACCGTTGTCTGCGTCAGGATCCAGACCAGCCTCTATAAGCTTCTTCCTGCGTTCCTCTTCCTTCCACTTCTCGAGCAGCTCGATGCCCTCAACCTCTCCAATAGCTTCTTCACCATAGCGACGTTCCTTGATAGTACCAGCGCGGATGCCCATTGTCGCGTCCTTGCCACGATCGCGTTTCTTGAGGAGGTCGGCGCCGACTTCGCGGTAGAGGGAGAGGAGACCTTTGGCGGCCATCATTGTGCCCTTGTCTTTCGATTTACGGTACTAAGAAGAGTCAGTATACAGGATACTACCAAGATGTGAGGAGCAAACTTACCATAACCAAGTCCTGAAGCAGAGTATCCGTCATGGCCAACGGCTGACGTGCGCATATCTCACGAATGGCATTCAGACCTGCCGCCGCGACCTCAGAGGCTGATGCTTCTGACACGAACTCGTTCGCAATCTTCTGCACAAGCGGCTCAAGTACATCTGGTGGTACATAGGGATGTGTCGCTTGCGCCAAGCATGCCAGGTAAGTGGTGACTGAGGCTTGTCGAGGGGTGAGGTGCTTCAGGAAGTATGAATATAGTGGGAGGACTGTGAGCTGATGTAATCCAACAAGACGAGTGACAAGCTGCAATGCCAGCAGCTTGGTTTCAAAAGCAAGCTTGTTCTTGGTGTTCTGGATGTGCTTCGAAAAGACAGTTTCGGCGAAGCCTTGAGGATCGTGGAGAAGGTGAAGGGCACTGAAGTTGAGGGGGTGCGGTGCATTCTTCTTCTTTGCCTTCTTCTTGAGAGTGGCAGCTGCGGACTTGATGTCGCGGGCCTTCTTCTTGCTCTTCTTGTTGATACCAGCGGCGTGCTTCAGCTTCGAAATGTCTACATCGTTGTCGTCATCGCTGCTCTCCTCGGCGGCAGCTTCTCGCTCCTGGTCACCACCGAGGAAGAACCTGAGGCCACCCGAAATGGTCTTTTCGTTGTCGCTCAGCGCTGCCAGGCGCATGACTTCGACGGCGCGCGCATCTGTCCATATTTGTCGTTTCCAAAGCTCTCTGGTGATCTTCACGGCCCAGATGCCCTTCGGCGAGGAGGTGTCGGATTCTAAGAGACTTGGGACAGTTAGTTGACAATGCCCGACATTGGGAAGATACTGCGTACTTGTAAAGTGCTGTTTGCATAGACTTGTTGAGCTTGTGGTTCACAGCCTTTGTGTTGGACGAACGTAGATCTGAGATAATCTTGGTATAGAGCAGTTGTCGCAGACTCTTGCTGTTCGTCGCCACAAGGAGAGGGAACAGTGTGTTGAGGAGCTTGACGGAGTCTATGACTTCTTTCCGCTTGAGCAAGCAGTATGCGCCGACAATCTTGTCCCTCAGGTCGTACTCGAGCACCTCATGGTGGGTGAGCAATAGCTCCAGATCCCTGGGAAACTCTGATGCGACATCGGGGTAGAGGTCCGAGGTATGCGAGACGAACTCAATGAGATCCTTCAGGGCAACCAGACCGCTGTCTGAGGTGCTCGGGTCGGCAAGGAACAGGTCGAGGAGAGTTCGGTACTGCTGGTACTGCTGCTCGAAGTCGTCTCTGTACGATTGGGGGTCTCGCTTCAGCTTGAATCGAAGTGCCGCATGGTCCGACTCGAGCTTCTCTAGGGCGCCAACTTTGCGCTTCATGGTGTATATACGGGTGTCGTGACTGTGCCAGTTTGTGAGGGCGTCGTCCGTATGCGCCTTCGAGGACTTTGCGACATGAAATTTTAGTGGGGCCCATCCCACCAATTGGCCAGGGCGGACCGACACTAGGCCGAGAAGCTCTGGCCTCTTCGCGCGTAAATCTTTCTCACGAGCCTCGACAATTTGCGCCAGCAACTCTTCAGCCGCGCTGCCTGACACTGGCGCGCACTACACTCTACAAGCTCAAGCATTCCTTTCGATTGTGGCGACTTAATTTTGAGCTTTTCACACACGCGCTTAAGACCTCGACGCGACGAGAGTAACTGGGCCAGCGCCCACCGCCGCCCATCATGACGAGCTTCTCCTCTATGTCCCTGTACGCCTTGACGGTGAAGCAGCCCACAGCCACCCAGGACGCCATCTCCGGCGACTTTCTCGGAAACGGAAAGCAGCAAATTCTCACCGCGAGCGGCTCACGGCTAGCTATCTTAGAGGTCTCGCGGCGGCAGAAGGGCTTCCAAGAGCTCTACTCGCAGGATGTCTTTGGCATCATTCGTCGCATAGCCAAGTTCAGGATCGCGGGTGGCACAAAAGGTATGTCAGTCCTACTTCCCCGCTACAAGCAGTATAGTGATTTTCAAAGCACACGACACCTTCGAGCTCCCAGCTCCCTGAGCCCGCGGTGGACTGGACTGTAATTACTAAGAACCTCTGCTGACTCCGTCAGACCATATCGTCATAACCACCGACTCAGGGCGGTTAGTCACGTATGAGTATATGCCAGATGAGCACACCTTCAAGACGGTCCATTTCGAGACGTTCGGCAAGTCTGGAATACGACGCGTAGTGCCGGGCGAGTATCTGGCAGCCGACCCGAAAGGGCGCGCTATCATGATCGCCTCGACGGAGAAGAACAAGCTTGTCTACATTCTCACCCGAAGTGGTCAGACGGACATCGCCATCTCCTCACCGCTAGAGGCACACAAGCCACAGACGCTAGTGTACTGCCTCATCGGACTAGATGTCGGATACGACAACCCCATGTTCGCTACTCTGGAGGTCGACTACTCCAACTCTGAGACCGACCCTACCGGTGAAGCGTACGACGAGATCAAGAAGGAGCTGGTATACTACGAGCTGGATCTTGGTCTGAACCACATCGTCCGGAAGTGGTCAGAGCCAGTGGATCGGACCGCCAATACCCTCTTCCGGGTTCCAGGAGGTCCGAACGCCCCAAGTGGTGTCTTGTGCTGTGGAGAAGACAGCATCACCTACCGCCGCATCTTCAACAACAAATCGAGCGTCCACCGACTGGCCATTCCCCGCCGTGAGGGAGCTACGGAAGATCCCAATCGCAAGCGCATGATTGTCGCTGGTACCCTATACTCCCTCAAGGGCGGTGATTTCTTCTACCTTCTACAAACGGAGGATGGCGACGTCTTCAAGCTCACCGTAGAGGCCACCAACGGCACGGTCGACAAGATCAAGATTAAATACTTCGATACTATTCCTGTCGTCACCAGCATCTGCATTCTCAGGGCAGGTTTCGTGTATGCTGCCTGCGAATCCGGGGACCGCATCCTGTACGAGCTGGAGTCATTGGGAGACGAGACGGAGGACCCTGTCTTCGAGAGCGACCAGTTCCCTGTCGATCCTGAGACTGCTTTCGCACCTCCTTTCTTCCGTCCTCGGGCCCTGGTCAACCTCACTGCGGTAGAGTCGATGGCTAGTCTCAACCCGATCATGGGTATGGAAGTTGCCAACCCTGCTCTCGAAGATGCGCCACAGGTTTACACGATCAACGGCACAGGCGGCCGAAGCTCGTTCCGCACCACCAGGAATGCTTTGGAGGTACTGGACCTAATCGAGTCGCCTCTGCCGCAGAACGCTTCCGATGTCTGGACTACAAAGCTCACCAGCGAAGACGAGACGGACACCCTCATTGTGATGTGCCTCCACAGCAGAACCTTGGTCCTAAAGATCGGCGATGACGTGGAGGAAGCTTCTAATACTGGCTTCCTCCCAGACACGAACACGCTCGGTGTGCAACAGTTCGGTGAGGATTGTATCATTCAGATTCATCCCAAGGGTATCCGCCACATTCAGGGTATCCAATTTCCCAATGAAGATGCGAGCGCGACACATGCTAGTCTGACTGATTGGCAACCCCCGGCCCACCGTACCATTGTAGCCTGCGCCACCAACAACCGTCAAGTTGCCATCGCGTTGAGTTCAGGTCAAATCCTGTACTTCGAGTGCGACTCAGATGGATCACTTGCTATGGCCGAGGAGGAGATTGCCCTGGACAGCACCATCAACTGCCTGGCAATGCCTGATGTCCCTGAGGGTAGCGTGCGAGCTTTCTTCTTGGCTGTCGGCTGCAGCGACCAGACCGTCCGGATATTCAACCTGAGTCCAGACATGGAAGGAAACATCCTGCGGAGTATCTCTGTTCAAGCTCTTACATCGCCGCCGAGCGACCTGACCATCAACCTCATGACAGACAAGTCGCCCCGCGGCTACAGCCAGTTCTTGCACATTGGTCTGCGAAGTGGTGTCTACATCCGATCAGTGCTGGATGAGATGACTGGAGACATCGGCGACACCCGGAGGCGCTTCCTTGGTCCTGAGCCTATCAAGTTTGCAAAGGTGACTGTTGCTGGCGAACCTGCTATCCTCGCAATGACCTCCAGGCCATGGCTAGGCTACACCCATCCCCGGACCGGAGTATTGCAGCTGACACCCTTGAACTACATCCCATTCAAGTCCGCTTGGAACTTTGATGGTTCTCAGTTCAAGGGAATCATCTGTGTCAGCGCTAATGAGTTACGGTAAGCACACCCCATTTCTTTCACTCAACTGCAATGATGAAGACTATGTTTTAATAACTCTAAACACTATGAGGGTTAACAGATTTTTCCAATTGTTCCTACTGAAAGCAGTCATCAACTCAATTTTGTCAAAACTACAACACAGATGAACAGTTGCTAACGAAACAGAATTTTCACCTTCAACGACTTGACGGACAACACGACCTACGAGAACATTCCCCTCAAGTACACCCCACGCAAGATGGTCGGATGGCACGACCAGGGTGTGTTCTACGTAATCCAGAGCGACAACAACACTATAAGCGCCGATAGACGCCAACAGCTGATCGCACATGCGGGCTTAAAGAAGGAAGAGACTGACGGTACCAATGGCTCTATGGAGACCGAGGAGGCCAATGGCGATGCGGCAAACGGCACAACTGATGGCGACGAGCTTCCAGCGATCGACTTTGGATACCCAAGGGCTCAGGGCAGTTGGGCATCTTGCATCCAAGTTGTCGATCCTGTGAGCGAGAAGACCGTCACCCATACAGTGGAGCTCAACGGCAACCAGTCACTTGTCAGTGCTGCTCTGGTTTTCTTCGAGAGCCGCGGGGACGAAGCATTCCTAGCTGTCGGCACTGCTAAAGACTTGAGCTTCAGCCCCTTCAACTACACCTCTGCCTCTATCCAAGTGTACAAGATCAACCCCACTGGTCGGGAGCTGGAGTTCTTCCACGAAACTGAGGTCAGCGATCCGCCTCTAGCGCTACTTGCATTCAAAGGAAAGCTCATCGCTGGTGTTGGTCGCCACTTGTGTCTTTACGACTGTGGTATGAAGTCTGTTCTTCGTAAAGCGCAGGCTCCGAACTGCGTAGCGACGCGTATTACCGACCTCAAGACTCAGGGCAGTCGACTGGTTGTTTCCGACCAGGCACAATCCGTCACATACGTTGTGCACAAGGATCAAGTCCATCCCAACCGTCTCATACCTTTCGTGGATGACACTATTGCCCGTCATACCTCCGCATCTGAAATGCTGGACTACGACACTACCGTCGGTGGTGACAAATTCGGCAACATTTGGCTTGTGCGCTGCCCCCAGAAGGTTTCCGAGTCTTCAGATGAATCGCCCGACGGCTCCGATCTACTAGTAGACAAGGGCTACCTGGGTGGTACACCGAACCGTCTTGACCTCATCGCACACTACTTCACGAACGACATTCCTGTTTCGATACAGAAGACTGTCCTCCTATCAGGTGGTGAGCGCATCGTCTTCTGGGCCGGTCTCCAAGGTACTCTTGGTGCGCTTATCCCCTTCAACTCCCGCCGACAACACAAGATGTTCCAGCAACTGGAGCTCCAACTTCGGTCGGACGATAAGCCGTTGTCTGGTCGTGATCATCTCGCCTTCCGCAGCTATTTTGCGCCCGTCAAGAGCGTGATTGATGGTGATCTCATCGAGCGCTTCTTAGTACTGTCGCGCGACAAGCGAGAGAGCATTGCTGGGCAGATGACGGGTGCCGAGTGGACCCCCAGCATGATTGATGAAGCGATCTGGAACATGCGGGGTCTCTATGCCTTCTAGTAGAAGCATGTTTTGTGCACATTACGGCGTTTGGAAATACGGGCCTTGAAAAGCGGTTGGTACTTATGTCCCGCGCTTCTAGCGTCTTTGATGAACGGGGAGCAGTAATTGTATTTGTACATAGGAACGTAGGTCACAATAGACCCAAATGATACCCGAGAGTCCTCTTCAGCTGCGTTCAGAGAATGACCTAAGTCTGGTCCGTGGTGTTTCATCTTGTGTAACGACCAGCTACCCGCATACCTCCATCTTCCTTCTCAAAACCCGATACCCCTTCCCACGAGTTCCCCTATCATGACAGCTACCGAAACCACCAACCCTCCACTCCATACCACACTCCTGCCCACACTCTTAACCCCCTCCGATTTCTCCACCTTCGCCTGCGCCTTCTCTTCTCCCAGTCTATACCCATTCGACCCCGCAATAACAACTCTAAAGTCCCACTCCGTATACCCCGTATTCGTGGCGCCTTCCTCCTCAACCCCCTCACCCCAAAGCGCACATTTGATTATCGTGCGACTGGCTGCGTCTTGACATTTTGGTCCTAGATAGATACTCGGCGAGCGCTCGAAATACAGGTTGAAGCCATTGCAGATTTGGGGTTGTGGGGGCGGTGTGGGGATGAGAAGAGGAGATTTCGGAGTTTGGTCGCTTGGGGTGGACGATTGTGCTGATGACTCCTGAGGTGTATTGTTGGGATTGGGATTGGGATTGGGATTGGGATTGGGATTGGGATTGGGATTGGGATTGGGATTGGGATTGGGATTGGTGTTGGTGTTCAGATCGACGCCCCAAGCATCGCACTTCCTTGCACATTCACTCGTATCATACGAATGCAGCTCGTAATGACCCAGATACGTCTTTCCGGCATACGAAGCGTTTGCGCCTTGGAAGGACAGAGAGTATATGTCTGGTGTGGTGGCGTTGAGAGCAGGCTCGCGGATGAGAGGTGAGGAGTAAAAAGACCACATATTGTCTTCTACGGGCGTGGCACCGTAAGCGGGTTCCTGGGGAGCGCAGTTTCGCCAGGTGTTTTGCGTGATGGAGGGAATGTGTGAGAGGGTGGTCGTTGGAGTTGATGGTAGTGGTGGTGATGCGTAGTTGGATATGGATGTTGAACTGGACACGCTGGATGTAGTTTCGATAGTGATATTGGTGAGGTTCAGTTTGGGGTGTTCTGTTAGCCAGGGGGCGGCTGTTGCTGCTATTATGCGGAGGGAGCTGGACGGGATTGCGTACGCCATCGTTCTTGTCTATGTGTGATGAGGGTTTGGAAGATGTTTAGTTTGGGTTCTGTGCGCGAGGAAGTGTTTTTCGTACTCCACTGTTGCGGACGTTGTGTGGTAACGATCTGGGATTTGCACCACTGGGGCGTCTGGTAATACAAAGCCACCTCGCTACTTGCAGAAATTGGATACGAATATGAGGTTCCGTACTTGTGTTGTGTGATTGGTTCGAAATTTACGACGTGTCTGGGATAGTTCACATGGCTATGAGTCCTCATGGGACTATTTGTAGTGCGAATTCATACTCAACAGCATATTTCCTCAAGTCCCAAACTCCACCCACATCCTCTGGCCCAGTCTTAAATCCCTCACATCACCGACAACCTACTATAAACCGTCACATCGTCCCTAAACGCCTTTTGACCTATCCACAAATTTGTCAGCCTACTCCATTCAACCAGCAAGCCCAAGTCGGGATAACTAACCTTTCAAATACCGTTCCACAACCCCAATCCACAGATCCCTACCTTTCAGCCTCGCCTCCTCCGGCCCCCACTCCCCTAACTCCCTCAAAAACGCCTCTTTCTCCCGACTCGACATCCTATCTTTCATCTCACTCAGCGTCTCGGTACTTGTCCGCGTCGTCACAATCACAGCACCTGATTTGGGCAAACGCGCATACATCTGCGTCTCGGTACGCACGAGGAGCTCAGTTGGCTGCAGATCTGCTATGTGGCCTGCGAAAAAGTCCATGGGGCGCGGGATGTGGAGGGTTGAGGCGAGAGTGGCGCGGGGAGGCCGGGTTTGGATGAAGGTTTGCGTATGGGTGAGAGGGCCGGTGGAGGCGTAGGGGGAGAGGGTGGGAAGTGGCTGTGTGAGAATAGATGGGAGGGCTGTAGATTAGTGCGTTAGTTAAAGTTACACGGCTCGTTGAGAGGAGAACTCGGACTTACTGGACCAAGGTTTCATAGGCGGTTTCCCCTTCCCTTCGCCATGAACCAGCACATCGACAGTCTTCCCCATATACGGCGTTACAACATACCCAGACGGAAAAAGTGTCGTACTAGCTTGTAGATACCACATCAACGTACTCTCACTCCTCCCCCAGACCTGAAAATCCTCCGCACACAGCCTCGCACAAACCTCCAACGGATGACGTTCCAACCCCTGTTCCACCTCAAAATCCTCTCTCGTCACCTCATTCAGCACATGCTTCCTGCGATGCTTAGTCAAAAAACGAAATTGGTTCGGATACATCTCCACAAGGAAAGACGTGACTTCTTGCAGCAGCTCGCGGCACGCTCGTTCACCCTCAGGAGTGACGTGAATGCACGAAGAGCGGTTGCGTGCGAGGAGGTGTGTGCGCGCGGCGTGGTATTCGATATAGTGTTCGGAGATGGTGAGCCAGTTGCTGCGGGGTGTGGGTGTGAGGCCTAGTTGCGAAAGGGTGAGGGGGTTGGAATGGGTGGTGGTGGACTCGATGGGCCGGTTTGTGAGAGGGATGTCTGGGAAGTAGTCGCCTGTTCCGCAGTCGTCGGCGTCGAAGGCTGGCATGCGTGAGATGCGGCATTCTTCGGCTATATAGGCTCTGGTTTGCGGGTTTGTGAACTCGCTTAGGTCTTCGACGTCTTCGATGTCTTGGAGGTTGACTGTTGTTTTTATTGATGTGGAGTAATTTCTGGGGGAGAGCGCGGTGCTGTGTGCTATGGTCTCTGTCGGCGCTAATAACGAGTCGTGTGTGAAGACGGTCATGCGTCGCTTCCGCAGGGTTTCAGCGCTCGTTCCGGGCTCGCTGTGTTTGCTGTGGATTGGCGCCGCATGGTGGTCTTCTTCCTGGGACTCGTTCCTAATGACGATGAACTTCTCTGGAGCAGGGCCGAGGGCGCCTTTGTAGAACCAGAGACGTACTGCGGCGGTACTTATGAAGAAGAAGTAGCAGCAGATGCCGACAACGAGAACGAGAAGGACGTATAGAGGTATCGGTCCGGCTTCCTGCAGGTGTAGCGGGCCTGCTGCCATCTTGAGTAGCTGGATAGATAAGAATGGAGTCGCACTGTGGAATTTGAGCGGCGGAATTGTGTACAAGTCCAGATCGCCATTGCTGAGGTTGTAGGTGCAGTGACATGTTTTCGAACCTTCAGTGTTGTGGTAATGTGAATGATGTACAATGTGATGCATCTGGATCGAAATTGAATGCTGTGATTTTTTCATAGGGCCGCTTGCAAACATTAGTCATGCCGATAAATAGGCAAGAACAAACGATACTCTTTCGTTTCAATCGTCGTCGTCAGTGTCAGTGTGTGCTATGTAAAGTGAAAATATACATAGAACAGGAAACCACAGGAAAGTTGAAGATGAAACAAAGCATTGGGTATCGTGTTGCTTGGCTATGTAAAGTAAACAATGAAGGGGACGCCGTACTCCAGTATGTCCTCATCAATGTGCCGAAATTGGCCCATTGGCATGAATTCGCGTAAAACAATAAGCATCAGAAGAGCATTAGCCACACCCATCCCGAACCATACCAAGAAGCAGGCCTAAGACGAGCTCCTTCGTGACCTACAATGTTCATAAATTGGACATCCAACTCTTACTCAATCCTAGGCAAAGCATCAATCTTCGCATAAAGCTCCTGCGCATCCTCGAAGATGTACCAGATATCTTTAGGTACACCCTTGAAGGCCTTCTCGAAGCGCTCCGGGTCGTTCTTTCTGCCCTCGTCCATCTCCGCCACACCCGTGACTTTACGAATGTAAATTGCGCCAATCCAGTTCTTGCCGAACTTGCGGTAGGCTTCACCGTAGGATTCAGGGTCTGTTTGGGTCGAGTCGCCGATGAGGATAAATTTGCGTTTGGGGAACCATCCGTGGACCTTCTCGATGCGATCGACCTTGTAGGCCTCGGTGCCTTGGGTCAAGTTTGCGAGGAAGCCGGCAAGGTTCATCCAGCTAGCATCGCGTAGAATCATAGTGCCATTGGGGTAGTATTGCTCGCGGAACTTGCGAAGGAATGGGTAGAGGTTGTATGGTGATGCGGAGAGATACCAGAAGGGTGGGTTGTCGAGCTTTTGTACAATGTGCCTGTACAGTTCTGGCATGCCCTTGATGGGCTCTGGCTCTTCTGCGAAGGTGGTGGTCAGAATACCGACGGGTGACGATGTGAGCGTCTTCTTGATTGTGTCGTCCACATCGGAAAGGACAGCCCAGCCCTTGGGTTTGGCGAAAGTGACGTTGAATGGCGCCGCATCGGCGTTGACGGCTTTGAACTTGTTGACTTGGCCGTCCTTGTAGTCATTCCCTGGAATAGCCAAGACATCGGAGCTGATGCCGTCGCGTCCGCTGGGACCCAGTCTGGTGTTGATGCCCAGTAGATCAATTTGGACGGCATGTGCGGGAAGGATCTGGTCTGCAAAGGGCTGGAGCCTTTGTGCGACGGTTGCCCTGGCTTGCTCGTCGTCTGCCAGGCCGATCTTCTCACTGACCCATGCGACGATGTTGGAGAGATCCTTGCCACTGTTCTTGACAAAATAGGCAGCGACAAATTCGGCATTCCACCTTCCTAGGCGATTCTGATATGCGGTAGTATCCAGGATCCACACATAGTCGGTCTCTGGGTTGACGTTGTTGTAGAAAGGGTTCTTGCGACCGAAATACGATGAAAGGTTGTCCTTGAGGGAGAAGCTGAATCGGCTGGTGAGTTTAGGCATGTCTGCTTCAAATGCGGCGAAGCCTGAGTTTTCTCTGGTGATGCGATCTTGTTCGGTTTCTTCGGTGCGCATTCGAGCACGGCCAGCCATGGCGGAAGCGGATTCGGGGGCCATTTTGTATGATGGTAATGTTAGACAAAGGCGCGGGTGCCTGGTGGGTTGGTGAGGTCAGGAGGTGGGTGTATTGCACGGGACAAAGGGAGGCGAGGGCCATGGTCGAGGTCATATACTTTGTGCCTGGCACTTGACCAGGACTTGTCGAGTGGCTGTCGCGGTGTCTCAGGAATGGGCCCAGTGTGCATGAGGAATGACGTCTAGCCAAGCCGTGGCTCCGCATCCTGTAGGAATGATCGCTTGCCGAGCACGCCGATCCTTGAACCTTGTCGGCATATCGCCTCGCGTTAGGAGGGACAACTCAGCAGCGAGGTAATGAATCGCCAGCTATTTGTGACCTTACAAGAAACGTTTCCTTCCACTTGGACCTCTTCTTGAGATTACTTCCTCAGCGTAAAGGTAGTCATATGTGTTACGAGTCTTACAGAATGGGTACTGCTGTACCTTGGGTATGCTCTGAAGTACAAACTGCCCCAAACGAGCTTCTTCGTCTTTCAGCTGGTGGTGCAAGCACAGGTAGCCACACTGCAGACGGAGAATAATGTGAGGGTCTAGCAACACGCTAACGCCGGACAAAGCAAAGCAGGTCGCGACACTTTGGAAGTAGTCGCAGCCTCCAACACTAACAGCGGAGTAGTATAGTCGCAGCAGGCTGCAGCAAATGGAGGCCTCTGGTCGTGCCAATGCGAGCAGAGTGACGTAACCACGGTCAAGCGATCTTGGGTCAGTTCACGGGTGTGAGTCTTGATATCTGCAGGTACGCGTGACGGTGAATACTCTTGCGCTCAGATGAGGCATCGCTGACGGTGTCGGTTGATGAAAGCCATGCTTGGCTGTGCCAGACTTTGTCGAGGACGAGATGGAATAGGGTGCTACTGAAGAGTCATGCTGCGACGTGATGTTGACGTATCTCGCAGCATACTGTCGCGCTGGAACGGCTATATCGGTACAGTATTGTGCTCAAGCTCGTCACCGTCACACCTCGCTCGGCGACAAAGAACATTATTGTCAACGCTTCCCGGATGGTATGGTTCTGTGTTCAACTGCTTTCGGCCTCCTCGTTTTGATGTTGCCCGTCGAACATGCGCGCTATGGTATCACGCGGCGGTGCCACAGGCTAGGGAGCCGGTCATGTGCTACTGTGTCGACGTATTCTGCTATGGCCCCAAGGTGGATGAAGGGAAAGGGTCCGATTAACGCAGACTACGGGCCAGTGGGGTCTGCAGGTAAAGGCCGATGGCAGGTCTTGGCAAAGCCTACGCCATCCAGGACGCGTAGATGTGCCGAACGAGAGGAGTAGATGGAAGAGCAGCACTGAGATGTGTGCAGCGTCGCCACACGTTGTACGCGGCTGTTTACGTCGGCCGTCGTGGTCTTTGCGAGTCTGTCATGGCTTGGCGACAAGAGGCGCAGCCCTACCTAGGTAACCGTCCGCCCGCGCGAGGAAGGCGCGTTGGAGGCCTCGATCAACACCTCGATAGTACCGCATCTGCCTCCTTTACGCTTACGCCCCGGACTCGCGACTCTGGCCTTGTCGCGCTCCTGTGCTTTCTTTTTGCGCAGCTGCACTCAAACACTCTTGCGACCATTTTACGTTGCGGAACGGCCCCGCTGCTAAGGCAAATATGGACCTCAAGAAGCGCCTCAAGTTTGGCAGCTTGATGCGCAAACGATCCTGTGCGTCGCATCTTCCTCTTTTATTCATTACGCTCTAACACTGACAGCGCAAGCAGCCCAGGATGTCAATATCGATACCAATGCGGATACGCCCGAGGCCAATGCCACCAAGGGAGTGGTAGGTCATACCGCTCCGTCGCATCTCCACCAAGCTGACAGCGAGTAGATGCTCTTCTGCGAGTCTGGTGCCGCCAACTCGGTATGTTTGGTACCGCATAGCATACACACGCCAACTAACATGCCTAGGGTGAAGAGGTCCTCCACTTGCCTACCATTGTCGAGTCCGCCGTCGCAAGCCCCAACGCAGCCGCAGCCGCCGCAAGACAGATCCGCATCTTCCTCTCCAAGGAGAACTTCAACCGCCCTCATGTCCAATACAATTCCGTCATGCTCATTAGGATCCTGGCCGACAACCCAGGACCCTCCTTCACCAAGAACCTCGACAAGCAATTCGCCGACACGGTCAAGCACCTACTTCGCCATGGGCAAGATCCGAGTGTCGCGCAAATCGTCAAGGAGACGCTGGATTCCATGGAGCGTGAGAAGGCATACGACACCAATCTGAACACGCTCTTCGCCATGTACAGGAAGGAGAAGGGCCTCATGGCAGCTGCGGCAAAGCAGTTTGGTCCCCGGAAGCTGAATGCGCCAGGCTGGTCGGGGTCACAGAACATACACGGCGGCTTCGGTTCAGGCGGACATAGGTCGTCGTCCAAGACGTTGCCGCCGCCTGTAGAGCTCGCGGGCCGCATCGAGGAAGCGCGTACATCGGCCAAGCTCCTCCTCCAGCTCGTACAGTCTACACCAGCAAATGAACTGCTCGGCAACGATTTGGTCAAGGAGTTCGCTGAGCGCTGCACGGCCGCCCAGCGCAGTATACATGGCTACATCGCCTGCGACAATCCAGCGCCTGACGATGACACTATGCTCACCCTGATCGAGACCAACGAGCAGCTGTCCCTCGCTGCCTCCAAGCACCAGCGTGCCATCCTTCAAGCTCGTAAATTCATGGGTGCATCACCCTCTCCACCAGTACATAATGGAGCCTACGCGCCTCCACCCAACGGCAGCAGCAGTCCGGCTGGCGTGCCTGCGCAGTCTCCAGGGCTGTCAAATCTCCCACCACACAACGACGCGCCTTCGCTGGCCCCTATGAACTTCGGAACGACAGCACCCAGCCAACCGCCTAGCGCACCGTCTGCCAGCCATGGGAATGATAACACCTCTCTTCCCCCGTCGCTGCAAGCTGCACCGGGCCGTACACAACCGAGCGCGCAAGAAGAGAATCCCTTCGCTGATCACTATACGACGACCTACACACCTCCAGCGTCATACCAAAACTCTACGTCGACGAACAATTATGGTGGCTCACCAGACCCATACCACCCAGGCTTCCAGTCTACTCCATCATACCTCGGCCGGCAAGAGAGCTCTGCCAACAATCTGACCATGCACGGTGCGCAACCGACGATTCAAGAAGAGGATGAACACATGCGTCCGCGGACCGAACGACCTCGGACTCCCGACCTCAACGTGCCTCAGCAACAGGCCCATGACGTTTCGCCTGTCGCAGAGCGTAATACCGTCACGTACAGATACTAGGGAACCATGGGTGGTATAGCGGACTAGACGCGGACGTGAGATGTGGGGTAATGTTTGGCAGGACCGATTTCATTCTTGGATCCGACGGGTAATCCCGATGCTTTGAAATCGGTTATCGCGAAGTGCACACTCTTTTTCTTGCGCAGAGTTTGACAACTCGTAGTTTACAGGGCGGTTTGGAGCGCGATAGTTAAGACGAGATACCATAGTTGACTTTCATCTGGATTTAGAGTTTAATGCTATTCTACCATGTTTTGCCCCGCACTTGCAAGCGCACCCCCACGGCCATGCAGTGACCTCGTGCGTCTCACGCGTCGCTCTCGTGCAGCAATCACGCAATCCACGCAATCCACGCAATCCACACTGCTGCTGCGCCTGAATCGTCACCACGATACGGCACTTTCATCCATGCATCAGCTTGGTCAGCGACGGCTCGCAACCAACCCCTCCAATCTGGAAGGCGAGACCCGACACCCCCCACTGCGGTCCCTGTTCCGCCGCTTCTAGCGCCGAAGAAAATAAGAAGCCGTCATGTTGAAGACATACACTATTGACAGCCCCGTCCGCCCTTCCCTTGGTCCTTCCGGGTCTTCACTTCCTCATGGCATTCTGCTGCAATAGTCCATGGCTCGTTCGCTTCCGAAATGCGTCGATACGTTGATCATTGGTATGCCATGGGAATAACACGCGCCAGCGGGCGACATGCTGATTACAAATTCCAGGCAATGGGCCGTCAGCGCTCATCCTCTCGTACATCCTACACGGCCATATCCCCTACTACATTGGCGGCCATCATGACGCGATTCTCGACGCGAAACTGCAGAAATCGCCCAACTTGCTTCACCTGACGCCAGACCTCTACGCGCATTTCCTGTCCTCGTTGCGCTACTCGACCCAAGCGCTGCCCGTCAACACGCTGCTCGATACCCTCATTCGACCGAATGCCGACACCGAGTTGAATCCCACGTCTTGTATTGAGTGGCGATACGAGCCTGACAAGGTCATACCCCATGTCGCAATTGGAGACACGGCGCATGCAGGCGGACAGTGGGCGGAGAACCCGGTCTCTGCGAGTGCGGACATTGGTACACTGAGCTATGCGGAACAGCTGAGCCTCCCGGGCTATTCGTACGCGGATCACCTGGCTAAGAGTAGAAGGGAGGATGAAGCCGAATTCGTGCGACCATCCAGGGTAGAGGTTGCCGACTATTTGAGGACATACCCGGAAGCTGTGGGTATCGCCGATAGCATATACACCGGGTTGAAGGTCGAAAATGTGCATCGAACGGTTCGCGGGTTCTCCATTGGCAGTCTGGGGATCCGCTGTAAGCATCTTGTGCTTGCGTCTGGTATCTTCACCGTCAACATCCCGCCACCTCTTTACCTCGCACCCGTTGCGCAGATTGAATCGCCAGAAGCACCGCTACTTGTCATTGGATCTGGATTCTCCGCTGCCGATGTCATCATATCAGCGCCTCCAGCTTGCAGGATCATACACATCTACCAGTGGGCTCCTGAGAAGAGGCCGTCTCCACTACGAGGCTGCCACCATACCGCATACCCCGAGTATGCGACAGTCTACCGCCAAATGAAGCTTGCAGCAATCGCATCAAAGAAGAAGACCGCAAAATCTCCCTCTGTACGACGGAAATCAAATCCGTTCCAACAGCGCGACTGGTCCCTGTACGAAGGCCTTCCCAACGCCGAAGTCATCAGCGCATCCACGTCTGGAAAAACAGCGACCGTAGTCCTCCGACTCCCATCAGGAGAAACCATCACGCGCGAAGTAGGCGGTCTAGCCTACGTCGTCGGCCGCCGCGGAACCCTAGACTTCCTCTCCCCCAATCTCTGCGCCGAAATCCTCAACACACCCGAGCACACGCCTCCCGACTCCCCTTCCAGCCACCTCATCTCCGGCCGCACCCTCCGCGCCAAAGCCGAAGCCACATCCCTCGAGGTCGCCCGCGACGTCTTCATCATCGGCAGTCTAACCGGCGACTCTCTCATCCGCCACGCAATCGGGGGCTGCGTCTTCGCTGCTGGCCGTATCCTAGGCGCTATATCCACACATTACTCTCCTGATAGTACGCCCTCGCCTACTTCCTCAACACCGCGGTCTGCGTCCCCAGTATCTACGTCTGATACTGAGGTTGCTGCTGAGGATGGGCATGCCAGTCCGAGGAAGGAAACGAGTGGGAGGCGCACGCCCGGTGAGTTGACGAATGGTCATGCGGATTTGCACGTTGATCGGAGGAAGCTGGTTAGGGCGGTGGAGACGGCGCAGGTGGAGAATAGGTATTGGGTTGATTCGGGGTGGTGGGCTGGAGGGTTGGGGCCGGGGAGGTGATGGTAATGACGATGAGAGGTTTGCTGTTGTTGGTGGGAGTTTGTACATACCCATTTTTCTAAGAGTATATTTACTTTGGTGAGCTTTGAGGTCTTCATACGATGATTGCGTGGGAATGATGTTATGTGTTTGTCGATGAGGGAAATGACGGATCGTCTTTCAAAGATTTGCGCTTTCTGATTTAAAGACTACGCAAGAGCCTGCAGAGTCGATATGGTTCGCATTATCTAGATTCTGCTTACTGCTTTCTCTCAAGCTACTGTTCTAGAGTCGCGCCATAAGTTGATCTCTAGTGTCCTTAAAGGGTATGTTCAGCGCAAAGCATAGACGAGGTAGATTCGTTCCGTGATGTGTTGTCGTAGTTGGAATAACCGTTTGCAAAAATTGTGAGGTCATTCGTATTAGAGTCTTTCCAATGACATCTCATAAGTTGTGTGTTGCATTTATGTGTCGATAATTTGCAAAGTTTGGTCGGTTTCGAGGCATCTGTAAAGCTGCCAGTTACTGTTGCAAATACTCCTAAGGCGACCAAGGAATTTGCATCGCGGTATGTCAATTGCCAGAGGTCTTGTTTGCTGTTAAACTTCCAAAAAAGATGGCTGTCTGATGCTGGTAAATCAGAGAAGTACCGCGTCTGCGCATGCTTGACTTGCCTATACGACGACAATTACCTGCACCATACGAGACAAGTACCGATCTCAGAGAGCAAAAGTACGAACTCTCTGAGGACTAAATGGAAGCAAAAAAGAATCGTGTCTGTGCCCATTACCCGAATCTATGGTTGGTTAGTTGGGGGATTCGAAATTTGGATCTTGTGAAGAACATACCGAACGAGTGATCTTCGCATTACAAGTGCGACGCCTTACCGCTTGGCCAAACGGGCGCTAGTACGCTAGTGATTGATGGTAAATGTTTCAGATAATGATTATATAACGTTGGCATTGTAGGGGTGATGAAGGAGATCGAGTTTTGGTCAACTGGCGGGCGAAACGGCAAAAAGCGGCCAAGTCCGTAACCAGTGCGGGGCAGAATCAACACCACATTTTAGCACACCGGTAACGATGCTTATTGGGTCCCTACTATGTACCGATCCCAACTGGGTCGGTCACACTTTGTCACTGATGATCTTAGTAAGTTGTTGTTACTAAATTACTCTACAAAAATGAAGCGGTCAGTATACATCTGCCGCGCACAGGACACGTCCTTGTCTCTTCGACATCAATGCTGTGCACTTGTGGCTACTTAAGTTCGTATCACCAGGATCATTGGTGGCTCCATCGGTTACGGGTGCGGCTTACCAGGTGTCTTGGACCACACAAATTCTTGAGAAGTACAAGTTGCTTATCAATAGCATATTGCCGATATCGTAGTTCTTTGTTCCGTACAATACATTTTGATCGTCACCGCACTTGGGAATGTCATGCCTTGCTGCTTACATAGTCGCGAACACCTATAGAACAAGCCCTCTGTAGACATGGCGGAAACCTTTGCACACGATTGTCAATGACTATACGGCTCTTTCCACGACTACTACATTGTCGGCAGTGCGCAAATTATTTGTGTCAAATGGCACTGCTGCAAACGATGGCTGGTCAGGCGTGCGGACTTGGGCAGCGCAACCCTAGTTTCGCAATGAAACTATGGAACGGTTATCTTATCACCAAATCTATCGCTGTAGGAAAACAATTGCAACTATGCTGATTTACTAACTACCTCGTGGGTTATTAGTGTTCCGTGGCAAAGGTCGATCATTCAAGGTTAGCCTCACCTTTGTCCCGTAGTTCGAGCGAAAGCTCCGACCACCGCTACATCATCGCCGCTGTAAAGGCAACACGTAGACCAAGACTTTCACCCTACACCACATTTCCACAATACAGTCCTTTCCGATATAAACTTCTGTCGCAGAATCTGGCCTCTAATCACACACAACTCGAAACACCAATCTAAAATCAGACCAGCTGAACAGCTAAGATGGCGGACAGCGGCGTGGACATCGCATCCCTCACAGCCGACCAGCAAGCCGCACTCCAGCAATACACTGCCGTTACCGACCAAGCAACATCCGACGCGATACCAATTCTCCAACGCGCGCAATGGAACGTCAACATAGCAGTAACCCGCTTCTTCGACGGCGAGCCGACCGAAGACCCAGTCGCTGCCGCCGCCGCACAATTACCGCCGCCCCAAGACATTCGCCGACAAGAGACACTGCTGAATGGCTTTGCCTCGCCGCGATCATCGACAAGTAGTGGGAGGAGAGTCAGGATAGAGCCTGCGCCGAGGGTGGTCCCGCAACCAGAAAGCCAGGTCACCACACAAGTTCCGCTGGTGCTTGCGATATTCTTTGCACCATTCTCGCTCGTATACTCCTTGTTCGCGAAGTCTTTCCGACTATTAGGCTGGCTATTTCCCTTCCTACCCCGTGCATGGGGGAGGGTGACAGCTAGCAATATTAACACATCCGTTTCTCAACGCAGCGCAAGCGGACGCCGACCTTTGAACCCACGAGATACCGCAGCGCGATTCATCCGCGAGTTTGAGGAGGAATATGGGAGCCACAGCCTACCATTCTTCGAGAGCGGATATGCACAAGCCTTCGATCTGGCCAAGAAGAACCTACAGTTCTTGATGGTCGTGTTGGTTAGTCCCGAGCACGATGAGACGTCTTCTTTCATTCGAGATACACTTCTCGCACCAGAGGTCGTGGAGTTTGTGCGGAACCCCGAGAACAACATCATACTTTGGGCGGGCAATGTGCAAGATTCGGAGGCATACCAGGTTTCTGCCGCGCTATCGTGCACGAAGTTCCCCTTTACTGGTCTCATCGTACACACACCGCAAGTGTCGTCGACAGCCATGGGCATCGCAGCGCGCGTAGCCGGTCCTACAACCCCACAGCAATACATTGCAAAGCTAAGACAGGCGATGCAGCAACACACAGAGCCGCTCAATCGCGTACGCAGTCAGCGCGCAGAACAACAAGCGACGAGGAACATCCGAGAACAACAGAACAGCGCATATGAGCGCTCACTTGCAGCGGATCGAGAGAAGGCGCGCAAGAAGAAGGAGGAAGCAGAGCGGAAGGCCCGAGAAGAAAAGGAAGCACTTGAACGCGAGCAAGCCATCGAAAGATACGCACAAAATCTCGCCCAATGGCGCAAATGGCGCGCCGCATCTATCCGTTCTGAGCCCAGTCCCGAGGAAAAGGACATCGTACGCATCAGTCTTCGAATGCCGAACGCAGAGCGTGTAGTCCGCAAATTCGCCGCGGATGCTCATATTGAGGAGCTCTACGCGTTCGTGGAATGCTACGATATCCTACAGTCTGAAGAAGGTGCCCAGGAGAAAGTTGAAGAGCCAAAGGACTTCGAGCATGAATACAAGTTTCAGCTGGTTAGTCCTATGCCGCGCGAGGTGTACGAAGTCAAGACTGGTGGCACGATCAAGGAGCGCATTGGGCGAAGTGGTAATCTGATTGTTGAGCGGACGGATCTAGAAGATGAAGAGGATGAGGATGAGGAGTAATCGCATGAACATAGTCATTGCACTGGCGTTACGCATTTCTGCTCGACTTAGCGTGGGACGTGGACACCCACCGAGGTTTTTGACATATGATAGTTACGTTGGTTACGAATGTGAGAATGTATGTACGGCCAAATACGTACATCTCTATTATATGCAGTGCTATTTTTATCCTTTTGAGCCAGACATGCCTCATAGGTATCTGCAAGGCGATAGACACAGCCACAACTGTGCTTCGAGTGCTTGAATCGGGTAGGCTACGGCTGTCTCGGGTGCACGGGCCATATCTTAGTGCCGCTCCCGGTTTCGTTGACGGGTGACGCATCACAAGCCTAGATCGTCCAATCTGCCATCGCGTTCCTCCAGACAAGCCTCCGATATGATCACATCAACATCATAACATGGACAGAGCGAAGACTCGCAAGCCTCATAAGAAGTCGCGAAACGGCTGCTTACCGTGCAAAGGCCGACATGTCAAAGTGCGCCTTCCCATTCGAGCTATTAATTCTACTTGCGACTAACAAACCTCAAAGTGCGATGAACAGAGGCCCAACTGCGCAAACTGCGTGAAGCAAGGCACTGTGTGTGAATACCGACCTTCTACCAACCGCGAGAGTCGTGAGACGTCCCACGTATCGCCTTTGCCAGCTAGAACACCAGCTTTTACGCCGTCATCCACGGATGGTCATGCCAGTACTCTTGATCAGCAACCATTGCCAGAGTTTGGAACTATCGATCTTAATGGCGCATCCAGCCGGCCTGATCTGACGCTGAATATACCCCAACTACGGCTGCTCCAGTACGTCCTTTCAATCCGATCTTAACGCTTTGAGAGTGCCTCGCTCTGCCTCCAAGATCGGTCATAACTTTCGGTCACCAGAACCTATTCACTACTTGCGGAGAGACTCCAGATGTTTGAACTAATTCTGTGCGCAGCCACTATACTACTGTTACCGCCAAAACCCTCGCAGCGCATACTGATGCTGAGGATGTGTGCTCGACCTTTCTGATACAGACAGCTTTCGATCATCCCTACTTGCTTCAGGCAGCTCTTGCACTCAGTGCGCTACACCTGAGCCGGATCTCAGCTTCAGAAGAGGCTCAGCAATACTCGTACCAGGCCGAGAAGTACCATGAAGCAGCTCTACTTAGTTTCCAAACATCGGTTCGCGACATCGATCATTCGAACTTCAAAGCGGTCCTTCTATTTGCCGGGGTCCTATTCCCACACGCATGTGTAGCTTCAGTTGCAGCTCACACAGATATGGAGCATGCGTTCGACAGCCTGCTTTCCAACCTGGTTTTGACCCGGAGGATAAGACCCATGGTAACTGGCTTTTACACAGAAATGAAGGCGAGCGAGTTGGGCCGCATGATTCCGGACGACGTCAAAGATATCGATTGGATGACAGAAGAACAACCACCCAATACTGAACTTGTACAGCTGCGCAAGTTCTCGGAGGTCGTCCATCATGTCTATCCTCCCGATATCGTGGATGCGTATGGCTTCGCCTGCCATATCCTCGAGCTGGTATTCCAGGTCGCGGAAAAGTCTGATAAGCCGCCTTCCGACGCGTTGCTAAAGATTTGGATTCACCTCATCTCAAACCGCTACATCGAGCTTCTATCCGAGAAGCAGCCGGGATCTCTAATCATCTTTGCACATTACGCTGTCATGATGCACAGGGCAGCCACGAGCTACTGGTATCTGGAAGGACTCGCAGAGCAGATACTCATGATTGCGGACCATTTGGTTCCTAGCGAGTGGAAGCAGTGGCTCCAGTGGCCCAAGGAGCAGATACGAGGTGGCTCTGTTCCGCCGACACCATATTCAGGACATACGACATGAAGCCTCGAGAATTTTCTTAGCTTTCGGAATTTCTCGTCAATATGCGCCGAGATGTGTACACTTCCGACCTGCTGCAAATGATGAGCCGCTGCTCCATGGAACAGACCGTCCCGCGCAGGCTATGCTGCCAGTTGCGGAGACGCGGAGGTTGCAAACATGCTTGAGCATCGTCAGATTGCGTGCAACTATTGCATCAAAACCATATCCCTACGCCAAATCAGCATTTTTTATCTCTTTTACCAGACTGCTTCGGGATATGCTTGCGAAGATTATGTGGCTGGCTTGACGAAGTCTTACCTCGTAAGTAGAATCAGGCTAAGCTCAAGTATCCGCATGATGACTGATCAGGCAGACTACTGTTACGGGACTTGGCTGGTCAGCGTAGAACACATTCGTTCGAAGTGATGGTAGTTGTTAGGGGGAGGCTGTGCGAAACGTGCGAAGCATCCGGCTTATCTACTTGCACGCACCACGACACGATTTACGACGTATTCTGGAAGCGACACTGAAGACTTCGTCCTGCTACCCCGTGTTTGACACCACCATACGCGAAGAACTAATGTAGGATATTAGAGGAAAGAACAAAAAGAGTGGAGCTTAGTATTCTGGCAGCAATGCGATTGGCGCGTCGTATCTGAGCGCGCTAGTCGTATGCACAGACCGTTCTCCTTCTCTATCCGGGATATCTACGCATCCCAACAAACGGCGAGAACGTTGCTCGGGGAATCTATGTACGAGTATAGAGGATCTAGATACGCGGATACGCTAGAGGGGCTGTGCCCCTCGGTTGTTTGTTCATCATGACTTCTTTACATAAAGACGTTGCTACACTTCTGTCCATCTGCCAACCTCAGTCAACACACCAACAGTCCCATGGTGTACTACTACAAACACATCTCAACCTTCCAAACACATTTCCATCATTGATCGGCTTGAATCAACAGTACCAGACAGGCTCCTGCCTCATACCCCTATCCTCCAACCCAAGATGTCAACACCAGGGCCAGTAGACGACTCAAACGCGATACCAGAGTATGTACTCTGGCCGTACACACCCACGATCGCGGCCGGTGCCATTACCGCCGTGATCATGTTCATACTGTTCTTCATCCACACATACCGCCTTGTCAAGAACAGGACATGGTTCTGCATACCCTTCGTCATCGGAGCTCTGGTGCGTATCCTCCCCTCTTCCAGTCCTCCAGATTCTATGTGCGAAGCTACTTCGCTACAAAAACACATACTAACAACCACTCCAGTGTGAAGCTATAGGATACTCCGCTCGAGCCGCAGCCCACAACGACACCGAGAACAAAACCCCCTACATCATCCAATCCACGCTCATCCTCCTTGCACCCATCCTCTTCGCAGCCTCCATCTACATGATTCTCGGTCGTCTCATTCGCCGTACAGACTCTGCTGAATACTCGTTGATCCGAGTAAACTGGTTGACCAAGCTCTTCGTTGGCGGCGATATTCTCTGCTTGTACGTTCCCGGACAATACATAGCTCCCAAGAACCATCATGCTGACATGATATTCTAGTATGATCCAAGCCGGTGGCGCCGGCATACTCGTATCCGCCTCCGACGCTGACGGCTTCAAGCGCGGCGAACACGTCATCCTCGGCGGCCTCATCCTACAAATCCTCATCTTCGGCTTCTTCGTCGTCGTAGCCGGTATCTGGCACGTACGACTCCAAAAGGGACCCACAGCTGCGTCTGCAGATATCCCTTGGACGAAGTTGATCTGGTTCTTGTATGCGGCTAGTGTGTGCATTACTATTCGTAACCTTTGTAGGGTTATCGAGTATGCGATGGGCAAGGTATGTTTCGTCTTTCTCGTGGTGCTTGATTAACTGCTAATGGGTGGATGTAGGATGGTTATCTCCTGTCTCACGAATGGCCCATCTACGTATACGACTTCCTGCCTATGATGATTACGCTCATCGTGTGTGTCTGGTGGTACGATCCGAACATCAAGCCGGCTCGCAAGGGAGATATTGAGTTCGCTCGTCGATAGATGGGCTTGGAACTTGTTTGTGTCAGCGACGCCGAGGTCAGGGCAGCACAGTTTCAAGAGACTTGTGCATGCAATAGCCCGAGAGACAGCTTCTGTGCTGGCAAGAAATGTGTGTTCTTTGGTTTCCTTCGTGTAGCGTTCATGTTTATGTTTTCCGGTCTGCGGTAGTCGTCGATAATGGGTCTTTCACGCCTGTTAGAAATGTTCTATTAGACACCTAGTATAGCTCATGCAAGTCATGCTAACATGACACGAGAAGTTTTATCATATCTCTCAACGCCTTCTTGGTCCTGCGGAGATCATTGTAGCCAGCTCTTTACCATGTGTGAATTGTTGTACCATTAAGCTTGTACTGATTTCGTATATCTTCGACGTCGCAGGCCTCGTTTCCCATCTATCGAAAGCATAGGGCCCCATGTTTTCTACATCTTCTCACCTCATCCAAGGAAGAACTTGAACAGCTCTGCAGCCTACATTAAGATGAGAACATGCAAAGTAGACAACCTAAAGTCAATGTAGGCTCCAGCGTGTTCGGTTTGTTTCCTTGAATGAAGTGTACTTTTGATGATCTCGCTTTGCTCCACCCGTTAAGCCCAACTCTCAAACGATATCGTCTACTCCTGCCTTTCCCGCGCATCATCGATCGCCTTATCCCAATTATAAAACTTCATATAGATACCTTCGGATATCGTAATGCAGCTCGAACCAACCGCACACCCAGTCCAAAGCCCCACCAACTTCATATCCTGCTTGAAACAAAGGAAAAGCGCCAACGGCACCGCGATAACATAGTACACGAAGAGATTGCACCAGCCCCCAATGTTCTGTTTTCCCAGCCCGCGGAGCAAGGCGTTTACAAGTGCGGTCGTGGAATCCGCGAATTGGAAAGCAGCAAGGAGCGGAAGTACGGTGGCGACTATGCTGACGACTTCCGGGTCGCTGGTGAAGGCTTTGGGGAGGACGTTGCGACAGGCCGTGAGGAAGGCAAAGTCGATGAGGCCGATGGCCAGGAAGGTCAAGATGTATGTCTTTGTGGCGGTGCGGGCTGCGGAGAGGGAGCCAGCGCCGATTAAGTTGCCCAACCGGGTTGAGACGGCTACGCCGACGGAGAAGGGGACGTGGTAGATGGCTACTGCGAGGGTCATGACGATTGACTGCGCTGCCAAGTGAGCTGTAGAAAGATAGCTTGTCGAAAAGGTAAGAATGTCCTATAAGAGGATTAGCGGGTGCTCCATATCAAAGGATGCAGTGCATGTAACTTACAAAAGCCAACCACTCAGTCTCCACCATGACGATACCAGGAACCGCCAGCTTGGCCATTGGTCCCCAATGTGTAAATGCAGCTTTTGTGAAGCCGCCCCAGCATTCCAGCGAAGACGGGTTAACGAAGTATACGTAGATCCAAAGCAGTAGCGGTAGGAGGTTGTTAGAGATGACAGTCGCAAGGGCAGCACCCGTGAGATCCCAATCCAGAACGAAAACGAAAACATAGTTCAGAGCTATGTTGATAGGCGTTGCAATAAGCAACACGAAAAGCGAAGCGTTGAACAGGCCCTGTGCTTGCGTGAATCGCTTGCCAGCTTCGAAGATGGCATATCCTGGCGCTCCTGCGAGGAGCAACGAGAGGTAGTATCCAGCGAGATGCGCGATCGCCTTCTCAGGCACGAGGGCTGCCAGAATCCAGCCAGAACATAGCCAGATAGCTCCGATGGGGATGGTCACAGCTAACATGAAGAGTATCATGCGCTGGAGATGGAGTCCTACCATGGTCTTCTTTCCGGAACCGTAGGCTTGCGCGCAGAGAGTGTCTAGTGATGTGGCCAGTCCTTCGTAGATTGCTAGTCCGGTGATGTTGGCTGTCATTGTGGCTAGAGAGACCGCTCCAAGCTCATCCGTTCCGACTGTGCAGAATGAAAATTAGCTTGCATCCAATGCCTGTTTTTTTTTGAGTACTTACTATGCCCAACGACGAATATGGTCACCAAACTGAATGAGTACTGCAGTAGATATGTCCCCATGAGCGGGACGCTATACTTCAGCAGCAACTTGGCTTCCTGCCCTGCTGTCGTTCCCAACTCTTCAGTCGTCCCATCTCGTCCAAGCAGGCTCTCAATCTCAGAGGGATCCGGAATCGCGCCATACTGATTCTGCTTCGCCGCGTTTTCGTGCGCCCTGAGTAAGCCGACGCGCTCAGCCGTGCTGGTAGAGAACCTGCGCGCCTCGGGAGCGTCCATTGTGTTATATGTAACGCCGCCACCAGATGTAAACGGAAACGGAACAAACCCCAGCGCTAAAGACGATATGTCATAGTCGTATTCCAGGTGCGTGACTTCGATGTGCTGGGCTTTGTCCTGGTGTTTCGATCTCACAGTTGTCGGCTCGGGCAGCCAAAGTGGGGCCGGGAGCTGGGCCTCTGCCATCAATGGCGCATCTCGGCGCATGGCGATATCGGGCAGCTTGCAGCGAAGCAGTAAAGCGTCGGACGACTAACGAGGGGCGGGCATAGTCTTGCCTGTGCCGTGTGGAGTTTCTGTGCGACAGGTGCCCGGATGCGGGAATGTTTGTCCAGAGTCTGCAGCTTTTCACGAGGTTTTTGTGGTGCGAGAGGGCACTGTCGCGGGCTCATTTCCCGTACCAGGCTTGCTCCAGGGTCTCCGCTGCTCTCATTGCCATGTTTACTGCGAGCTGTGCCTGCACCGACCATTCGCAACGGCGGGCCGCAAGAGATAGTCTGGTAAGAGCGAGGCGTTGGGGTGCGTGGCGATGATCGTACCATCGTAATGCGAGTCGGAAGGAACCCCATTGGCGCGCAATGGTTCGTGTTTCAATCATCTCCGAGACTCCCGGTTCGCGCTACTGTCGAGCACGCATGCTGGACTACCTCACCGAGCATTTCCAGAGATGCGCGAACTGCATGGCTGAAGACGGGAAAGACGATTCGTCTGCGTGTTGTCGTTTGAAATGGGGGCATGCGCGAGACGGAGTTTGGGGACTTTGGCTGACCTGCGTATAGCTTTTCATGACCTAGTGAGAGAACTATCCTCGGTCAGCATATCCTCGAGTATCCTGTACTCAATCATTGATCCTGGACCTTCTGACTCCTCTCCGAGTCGCGGACGTCGTAGTCGTACTGTCGTTGTGCAGATGTGTTATCGAGCATGAAACGGAGCTCAATGTGTCATATTGCGTTGACAAGAACAAAGGAAGTGGGTTGAACTACCTGTACTACAAACGACGACTGAACGTCAGTGTAACGTCGCCATGACAGCTAAGGCCCGATGCGAGGCAAAGGGTGTCAGAACCATGTTAGTCTCGATACGGGTGAAAGACCATGCCCAGGACAGCCATCTTGCACTCTACACCTAACTTGCCAAGTATCAAGAAAATCGAGTCGAGTCCAGACTGTCATATTCGTACCCGATGCCCTTATTAGCATCTACCACATCTTCACACAGTTCCTTCGCTCTGTCATCGGCGCGACATGTATACTCGGATTTCCAGACTGCAGTTCATGTAAACTGGTAATCGGATCTTATTGCTAGTACCAAATTTCAAAAGTATTTCTTCCTACCCGTACAGGCAGGCGAATTGTCTAGTATATCTTTTACGATGTCCCAAACCTGATACATAACGATGTCGTGTTTGTATGTGTATATACTATACGAAGCCAAACCCGGATTTCAGCGAAAACGAAACATTGCAATCACATGAGTATAGCGTAGCGATCACTCACTGCTAGATGGCCTCAAGCACATATATCTCATCACATCTCGAGCGGTTGTTTCTTTGTATACGTGCTGTCAATGCATGTTTTTATTTTATTTTAGGAAGGCTTCAAGTTGAGCGTTGGATAGCCCGTCTCACCTACGAAGTGCGAAGTGTTCCGCAATGATTGCAAGCACATGAGACATCGCTCCGGTCTCTCTCATCTACCAGGCCGCCAAAAACATGTACAAAAGAGCAAGTCAAACATATCGGCCACAGTCTGACATCACATCACCCTTCCTGCCCATAGAAGCAGCCTACGTAAGATCACCAGGTGACATACACCTACATGTAACCATCGTGACAATGTAACGCCAACTCGCTCACATTCTCCCGGTGGCACAAACACACAGCAGCGATCTTACATCACCCTCCGCCCCCATCATCCATCCACTGCATCCTTATATCCCACCCACCCTTATTCCCAGCACCGCGCCGCTTACATACCACCCCAACTCCATCCGCTCGATCCGAATCTCCGAGCCCACCACAGCCCTATCCCCCACAAAAAATATCATCAGCAAAATACGCTTGAAGCCCAAGAACTCTACATGCAGATGCCTGGGATCCTCCCCCCATGACCACGACTCAAGATATTGATCAGTGCACTCAAGACATGCCTCGCGCAAAGCAAGTAGCCCGGTGGGGGGACACAAACAGGCCAAGGTTCAGGCAACTTGCTGATCCTTTTCTCGGCGGCATCATGGCGGAACCAGCGTAGAATTACGTCAGGGACGCTTTTGCCCAGCCCGCCGAGAGGAACAAGCGCGGGGTGGGGTGGCGCGAGCAAGCGAATCCCGTAAGAGAAACGGAAGAGTAGAGCAGAGACTAAGCGGTTGTACGTAAGAGGTAAGCCGTCCTTTATGCTGTGTCGCTCGCAACTCGCATCGTGCGATCTGCCCGCCTATTCATTCCGCACTGCGTTCCGCACTGTAGGATCAGGAAGGATGCGATGCTCAATCGGATGAGTGTTTCCCGGCGAAGGATTGGATTGGTGTCAATGTATATCCATCTCCATCAACGGAAGTATCGGCAGCGCAAACTTCTTTACTGCACTCATGGCGTGACTATCGCCGTGCATCTGCATTATCGAAAGGTTCTTCAATGGGAGGTTTTCTACTGGTTCGTGCTGGGAATGCTTCCTCACACCTAGAATAGGCTTAGATGTATCCTGGGGTATACATGTACTACAACGCATCAAGCATAACGTGCACATACGCCTGGGCAAGCTGCAAATCTATCTATCAATAAACCCGCCCAGGTGCTCCCCCCACGAACGAAAACAACGAGGAACGGCAAAAGGACCGAGCGCGCGTCTGCATCTGCATCGGCGTCGGCGCGCCAAAGTAAAAAGCGGTTGACAGGACCCTGTTACTGTACATACATACTTCCGGAGTCCCGTACCAGTACCATCAAACTTGACGCGTTGAGCTGCAATGCATAATGTGGACTGTGGAGTAAGTGCCACACCGTGTGGGAGGAGACGAAGAAGGGAAAAAGGAACACTGATGCTGATCAGCAAAGCCGTGCACGCGCGACGACGCTCTGTGCAATTAAGGGCGGTAAAGGAGAACAACGCGACGACGCAATGCGACGCGTGTTCTGGCGAGGATAAGAATCGTGTTTGATGGCCATTGGGGAGTGGGTATTCTTTCTTTTCGCGGCTGGGATGCGCAGAGTGAGGCTCAGCGAGTGACGGTGCATGCAATGCAGGTTGTGATGATCGCTGGCACTGGGGTGCACGTGGGTGGCTGTGGCCGGCTCCGAAGACCGCACCGCACGTCGCTGTTGAATGTTGAGTGCGTGCTGCCGACGCATAGCAATCTCAGATTTGAACATTGTTGAGTCGCGGGCGTAATTGTGAACTCGTGGATTATTATTACCGAGTATTAGGAGTACACCTGTGATCGCACATACACGAGACGGAGCTCAAACGTGATAAGACTGAAGACGTGAAGAATTTGAAGAATTTGATTATGTAGTGACGTGAAAGTGAAACCATTGACGATGTCAGATGTAGTCTATGAGACATTCCAGCCCAGAACGTGAAGGAAAAAAGCCAAGCCTGGCTTGTAAACATGGAACCGATCAGAGGGTTCTTACATGGAGTAACGCCGAGAAATGCAATGGACAATATGTACAGACCGAATGCATCGAATATCGACAGTGTGAAGTGAACGCTAATGCAGAGAGAAAATCAATCGGGCCTCGCGAGGATCGCGGCGATAGCGTCACAAGGAGCGCAAGGCTGGGGTTTACGTTGCGGCGCTTCGGCAGCTTGAGGCGGGCATACGCACTCGTCGTCAGAGGATTCGGAGACGGATATCTGACGTGCTTGCGTCAGGCCCGGAGCGTTCATTGGTACGAAGAAAGATTCGCGGCGATCGTACTGCGGGGTGCAAGAGCCGTCTTCGTTTTCTAGGAAAACCGACGCCCGTCTCGAGAAATGGCCTCTGGATGGCGCGTCGTCGCACGAGGGGTATGCAGTGCCCCAGAAAGGCAGCTTTGGAGGCGTGCCTTGACCGTTGTATGGTACGTAGATGGATCCACCACGCGGCCTCAGGAAAGGGCTTGGGTCGTCAAAGTCCTCGAATGGACTCTCGCTGGCACTCTTATCCGACTCCTCTTTCGTAGCCTCGAGGTGCGACCGTTGTAGTGCGATCTCGAGCTCTTCGGGCGAGAATGGTTGCGAGGGGTTACGAGTGCGGTCTGAGCCAGTAGCGGGTCTCGAAAGCTGTTGGACAGAGCTGGAGCGGCGAGCGCCTTGTGATTGTTTCCGGCGAGCATCGCGAGGGTCTTCGGTTGGATTGCGGGAGAGGCCGACTAGGCATGTCAGTACCGCATCAGTCATGTCACAAATAGTCAAACACACCATTGAGCACATCCCCTTCGTCGTCAGACGCCTCTTTGATGTTTGCCGGCCTGTCGTCACCGGCGATGCTCGCTCCGATGCCGCTGTCTACCCACTCTTCAGCATCGTAGTCTGAGGAGCAACTTCCTCTCCGACTTCGGTGCATACTACGACTACGGCTCCGTCTCCTGAAGCTGCTCCTACGGCTCGGTAGCCTGCTACCCATGGGTGAGTATAGAGAGGCGTTGCTGTGGCGGCGCCATGCAGTCGAAAAGCTGAAAGCCTCGAGCTTTTTCTTGTGTTCAGGGTCGACGGCGCGACGGTACTTGAGGGGAGGCATCTTCTCTCCAGGCTTGTAGAAATCCGACTCGGGCTCCTCTGGTTTTGCATTCTTGTGTGAGCCAGCAGTGAGAACGCGCTTTAAGCGAGTGCGAAGATGGCCAGGCATTGTGGGCGAAGTGTGTGGGTGAGATGGTGGGCAATGGGCGGTAGGGAGCTGCGAGGGTGATTAAAGTGGTAGAGTGTGAGGGTTGGTGTGAATGTGTAGAGTGTAAAAGCGTTGTTGAAGAACAAGCGCAAGGGCACTGCACTCGGAAGGATGGTCCGGTATGATGTCGGCAGCAGTGTGAGGCTGATTAGGGAGTGGGTCGGGGCACAGACGGCGGTGCTATCCTTGCCCTGGTCGGGTGCTGGGCAAAAGATGGAGTATCCGAAACTGCGGTGGGACGCTCCAGAGGTCGGGCACAGTGCACTGGGGAAGAGGGAGGGTTGGATGATATGGTGACAGCTGCAGCGGATGAAACGCGCTGCAAGGCTAGAAGAAAACGCGGAGAAGCGCCCTGCACTCAATAAGGCGATGTTGGGCTTGGGCTTGGGAGTGACGGAGGCTCGCTACGACGCTGAACCGACGAGCGAAGGGGGGGTCAACTGCTCCCACTGCGCGACACTATTGCTGCATGCATGCCTGGCGGTAGAAGTTTTCTAGAATGGAAGCAGGCGCGAAAAGCGCAACAGACGGCGGCGTGAAGCGACTGGGTTGTAGGTCGGCCGAGCACCTGCTAGCGACAGCCCAGTGCTAGAAAAGGTGGGCCAGACTGCGCGCGGGTGAGCGCTAGGCTAATGGAGGGTGAACTGCCGTTGGGAGTCGCATCCATGGGCTTGCCACTATCGTTAATTCGCGCACCCGCAGGCCTCATTCGCTGACTGTCGGATAGTGGCAGCGCAGGTGCGGAAGGTGGTTGGGATGGTGCGTTGAGACGGTGCACGCCGAGCCTCACCAGATGCCATGGGCAGCGTATTCGAACAGCCTGGAATACGCGGCGCTCGACTTGTCATGCAAACTTCTGTCAAGATCGGACGTCCCACCACAGACCAGGCCCATTCAGATTCAGTTGCCGCGTGCCTGCATTCGGCCTACCTCAATACGTCTTGGTCAGGTGCTCGGAAATTGCGCAACCAGTGTGGGGTAAATTCGTGTGGGACAGATCGGTGAAGTCATCTCTATACTTGTAGGGCACACCGCAACGCGAGATTGAACGTGCGGGCGTATCATATCTACATATTCGTCACTCTAGGTCATCCGTCAGGAAGCACTGCCATCCACCTTCAAGGTTACTCACCCTTCAAGTCACCATGTTTGCCGAGGATCCGCCGACGGCCCTCCGACCTCAAATCGAGTGATCGTTTACCAGGATGACGCTGCCCCGCATGTCAAACAACTTGCTTTGGCTCCATGTGCACCTTCACCTGCACCAGCGACAGCTCGAACCGCTGCAATGGGCATGAGGCGTGTCTGTTTGTGGCTGGAACGCGGTAGCTAGCCATGCCATTGGAAGGTGGGGGCCTAGCTCCTGCAGCTATCCCCTCTATATGACCTCATCGGCGTCGAGCTAGGTAGCTACAACAAACGCCATCACACCGTCGACTTCACGAGCTGTGCCCTGCTTTCTGCTACTCTAGTCCCACGCTTGAGCTGATCCTTGACTACAACTAGAGCCTTCCAAGCCCATCCTCCCGCTGCATCCTAGCTACCTAGGTAAACAGCAACACCATGGAGAAGATCAAGAGCGTCCTTCATGGCCACAAGAAAGACGACAATGTCGCCCACGATGCGCCCACATCTTCGTCCACTGCTGGGGGGTATGTACTTACACTGGCTTGAGCGCCGCCCATACTAACATCAGTCCCAGTCAGGAACACCCAATCTACGACCAAAACCAAACTACTGCGCACAAGAAACGGAATGACACCCCAGGACAGCCAATGTACGACATAAAAACCACCAGTGGCGCTCCATACACAGAGCTGGCCCATTCAGGCGACTCTGCAGGCCTTCACGGAAGTGATGCACATGGAACACCCACACAAGTCGGTACCGATGGGCCCATTGGCACAACAGCAGCTGCGACTGGAGTTAATGATCCCATCCGGACGCAACATCACACGAGTACCTCGCAGCCCCTCCAAGGCGCAACCACGACTGCTGGAGGAGCTCAACGTCCCGATGCCTACCCCCATGGCCACACTGCGGACCCAAGTGTCGCGAGCATCAAGAGCGGCGTGATTGGGTTCGGTCCTGGAGCCAGCCAGGGACATGCTGCCATGTCGACACACAACCCCACTCAAGAGTATTTGGGTCAAGACCAAGTAGTCGGAGGCGGAGATCATGGAACTGCCGGAATGACCAAGGGAGCGGGAATGACCGAAGGAGCAGGCGTCATCCCAGGCCAGACATATCCCCGTACGTAGATCTAATCTACTATCCAACGCGCAAGACCTGACCAGAGTGTAGAACCCAGTGCAATCGATCGTGATTCAATAGGCGCTAATCCTGCCTACGCGAGGGAAACACAGCCATATGAGAACACTTTGCGACAGGAGAGCTACACCGCCGATACTGATCGATCGTTCCCTCTCGCTGGCGGTGTCATCTCAAAACCTCACCAAGACCCCATATCCACGCAATATCCCACTGAGCACACCTCGCCTCTTCACAACAAAGGCATCAGTGAACTCGAATCTGGCACAACAGAGAGGGGAGTCGGTGTTAATGACAGCCCCTCTCACGACAGTTATGGAAGGGAAGGGCTGGCTGGAGCAGCCGCGGCCGCCACTGCCATTGGCGCTTCTCAGGCACACTCACAGCCAGAGAGGCAGCCAGACGGACAGGGTGCTCGCAACCGAGGTCTTCATACTCGTCAGCTTTCATATAGACATGTTGCACCGGGAGACACTACGGGATCTACTCAGACAGGCAATGTTTCGAGCCAGCCGACGTCAGACCACCATCCCGAAGTTTTGGCAGCTGCTACCGCGGCCGCTACGACTGCAGCTGCCTCGAGATCTTCCGCCCTTCCCCCTTCTGCCCAGGGGCATGAGTACGGGGCCCGGGATGTCAACGAATCAGAAGCTACTCAGTCTAATATCGCTGGAGCCCCGACGACTGGCATGTCGAGCACTGGCGAGCGTCCACTAAATCCCCGACTTGAGTCACACAGGCACATTCCTGGCGAATACATTGCTACACCCAGCGACGAGAAAACATTCCTCAACTACGCCCCTGTTATTCAACCCTCATCCACAGACGCAAGCGCACCGATTGCGGCCGCAGAGCCTACGTCTACATTGGACCCATCTCACGTGCAGCATTCGAGCATTGACCCCACGTCTGCAAGCGAACCTCATGAGCTTAGACACACTGGGACACTTGGAGAGCCCCAGCCAAAGTCGGCAGATGAACATCACTACGCTCGCGATGCTGCCATTGCCGGAGGTCTTGGTGCTGGTGCAGCGGGCTTAGGTGCGCATGCAGCTTCGAAGACTCACGACACCCAGGACGTTGCTGATAGCCAGCCTTTGTACGAAGAGTCAAGCCCGTACAGTAGTAAAATGCTCGACCCTCGTGTCCTAGGCGATTCTAAGCTAGAGGAGCGGAGGTTCGATGAGCAGAGGTTCGATCCACTGGCCAAGACTGAGGCGGCTCCTGCCAGTGGTGCAACGATCTCTGGTCCTCCTGTCTCACACAGCCCATCCGAGACCACAGACTCACAGCACAATTACGGCCGTGACGCTGCAGTACTGGGTACAGGTGCTGTAGGAGCCGCTGGGATGCACCATATCCTTCACCAGAACGATACTCCTAGCACTACTACCACTGCGATTCCCGAAAATTCTTCTTACACTTCTGCCACGGGACCGAATGTTGCTGCCCCTCAGCAAACCTCAAACTTCTCCAAGCCACTCACCACTGCGAGTACCTCTACTGCTCAGCCAGCTGGGAACGATCACTTCTACGGTGCCACTGGAGCCCCTGCCCCAATTCCAGATACGAGTGCACAACAACCATCAAGTGGCCTAAGTCAGACATCTACCGTCAGTGCAGTCCCTGAAAGACATCCTGAGCACCACTACGGTCGCGATGCTGGCCTCGCCGGAGCTGGCGCTGCTGCTGCTGCTGGTGGTCTCTATGCTGCCAACCGTGACAACACCGACAGCGGACCAGCTTCAAGCACTATCGGACCTCACTCCAGCAACGCTGCCAACATCATGGACCCTAGGGTTCAGCCAGAGCCAAGCAAACAGATACACCACAACGTCGGACCGACAACTGAGGACCCTGCGTCGCGTACGATCGGCCCGCACAGCAGCAACATTGCCAATATCGTCGACCCAAGAGTTAAGCCTGATCCATCCAAGCAAAAGGAGCACACCACGGTTGGACCTCATCAATCAGACACATTGAACCGCCTAGACCCCAAGGTTGACGAGAAGGCTGGTCAGCAGAACGAGCATCACTATGGCCGGGATGCTGCCTTGGTTGGAGGTGCGGGCGCCGCCGGTTACGGTGCATACCAAGCTGGTAATGCGTACGGCGATTACAAGACGACGCAACCCGGATCACACGAAGCTGGCAATGCTGGTACTGCGTATGGTAATCAAAGCATGACACAGCGAGCACAAGACGCTATCAATGCGTATGGCGACCACAAGATGACTCAGCCTGCCGCTTCCATGCCAGACCAGAGATACGATCCCACGGCAGCCGGCGCACGAGCGACCAACCCAGTTTCTCCAACAAGCCAATACAACTACAACGATCCCACTACGCAAAGCAATGTCAATCGCACTGATCCCAACGACCACATCAACAGGAATGTTGCGCTTGGAGGAGCAGGTCTTGCAGCTGCCGGATTGGGGGCAGGAGCTTACGCAGGATCCAAGCATGACGACAACACCACTCAGCTTCCACTTCGACAGAAGCAAGAGCTTGCGTCTTCTGGTCAGACTGCGTACCCAACGCAGGGAATGGCACAGTCTTCCTATCCCATGCACGAGACCAGCACGAGCACATCGTACCCCGCCTCAAGCACCATCGCGCCTTCCGGTCAAACTGCGTACCCAACCCAAGGACTGGCACAATCTTCCTATCCTATGTACGAAACTACCACGACTGCCTCATATCCCACCTCAGGTACCATCGCACCACACAACACGCATACCCAGGAAATGTCATCTCAACCCTGGGGACCTGGGGCAGTTCCCGTCAACGATAGTCACGACAAGCGCAACGCCGCTCTTATGGGTGGTGCTGTAGGCGCAGCAGGGCTGGGTGGTGCAGCTTACATCGACTCCCAGCATCAAGACGAGCGTGAGGCGGAAGAGCGTCTCAAGAAGATTGCCCATGATCGCGAGAAGGAGCAGCATAGACTCGACAAGGAACAGCACAAGCACGACAAAGAAGTCCACAAACACGACAAGGCCGTCGCAGCACACGAAAAAGACGAGCATCGTCTGGCCAAGGAACACGAGAAGGAGCAAGCGCGTCTGGTCAAGGAACAACATCACCGTGAGAAGGAGCTTGAGAAGGAGAATGAAGGCGAGGAGAAGAAGAAGCACGGCCTTCTTGGATTCTTGCACCGTGATAAGTCCAAGAAGGAAAAGTCGACTGCCAGTCCTGAGTCCTCACCGCGCCAGTCTCGCGACTACAGTCCTAGACACTCCAGAGAGTATGGCGATGATCATCCCGACTCACCACGCTGGAAGGGCAAGCACCTTCTTCACAAGGACCCACCGAAGGGCCACCCGGCCCGTGAAGCTATGGAGCACCAACAAATGACTGAGTCGTCTGGTTCGGTAGGAAAGAGGGAGCACATGGGTGTTGATGGTCCGATTGGCAACCCAACCATGATCTCGGGCGATCGGTAAGCTCATGCTCAGGGGTTTGACAGTGTTGATTAGTTCTAACGTACCCACAGTGAAACTCAGCACGGCGTCTACGGTGCGCATCCTATCTCAGATTTAGACCGCGACAACACGGTCACTGAGCCACACACTGGTCTACCCATGAACACCGGGCGCTTCGGCACCGGGGCTGGTGGAACAGACAATAATCCTGCCATTCATGGTCACCATGAACATTCTGGTCCGGCACCGGGTCAGAGTACTACAGATTGGGAGGCCATCAGAAAGGGCAATACGCCATACTGATTTCTTGATCGATCGAGTGATGGGTTATGACGATCAACGTATACGGATGACGAATTTGCGAGATACACCTATAGTTGCAATGGCTAGCTGAATTTAATCTAATTCAATGTTCTCATTTTAGCGTTCTGACTGAGTATCATTTACAGTTGAGCATATTCGCGCAAGGTTCGCAGACCCAGTTTTTACCCCAGGCGGCCTAAGCCTATCTTCCTACCTTGATCTACACCCCACGAACACGAACAACAACCGCGGCACCGGCTGAAGTCTGCATAATCATTCTATACAACCAGATTTAAATCTTGTGTAACGTTGCGACGGAGAAATTATCTCCGTGATGATCTCACAGATCGCGGGGAAGAAGTGGGTCACCTCATATCGATCCTGACTCGGTAACTGGCCGACGGGGGGATTCGCGATGACGGACACGAAGCGACTTGCTCTTTGCAGAAATACTCCGCGCCGCGAGAACGAATACGGTACGGGCTAGCAATATGCACGGGGACGTCACGAATGTAAATCTGGAGAAAAAGTCTGGAGAAACGAGGATGCTCGCATTCGGATCATGGGATCTCGGAAACCTTAATCTTGATCTCAAGACGACGGAATATATGTAAAAGAGCGAGATCGCCGTATGCTACAAGGCATCGTAGTGTTGGATTTTCTCAACTACAGATCCATTGGCCCATCATGAAGCTCTACAACTCACTCGCTTTCATCCCTCTGTTCCAGCTGGGCTATGCGCTCCTCGATGTCGATGCTATTGTGGACAAGCACTACGGCAACGACGCAGCATGGTACCGCGACCGCATTCCACTTTTCGAGTCGAGCGATCAGGACATTACTGATGTGTACTACTACCGCTGGTCCATTTTCCGCGCTCACCAACGCGACCTAGGCGCTTACGGATACATTTCCACTGAGTTTCTTGACGATGTCGGCTGGCAGACGAAGCCCTTCGCAAGTCTGAACGATGCCACTGGATTCCACCTGTTGGAGGGTCGATGGTGTCGCGACCGCCGCTTCAAAGAAGACTACGCGACGTTCATGTACAGCGCCAACAGTAACAGTCGCCAATTCTCCGAGAGCATGGCCGCAGCAGTCTGGCAGGGCTATCTCGTTGACGGCGTAAAGGAAGACGCAATCAAGCGCCTCTCCGACATGACGCGCGTATACGACGCCTGGGACGATTCCTTCGACACCTCAAAGGGGCTATACTACGTCGAACCCATCCGCGACGCAACGGAATACACAATCTCCAGCATCGACTCGTCAGGCGGCTACGACGGTTTCTTCGGCGGTGACTCCTTCCGCCCCAGCATAAACAGCTATCAGTATGCCAACGCGCTCGCCATTGCCAACATGGCGTCGCTCGCCGGCTCCATGAACAGCACCGTTGATACATACAACAGCCGCGCCGAAGCACTCAAACAACGCGTCCAAGACGCCCTCTGGAACACAACCTTCGCCCACTTCATCGACCGTTACCAAGTCAACAACACAAACGTCACCTACTGGGACCCCATCCGCGGCCGCGAACTCGTCGGCATGGTCCCCTGGACGCACGACCTGCCCGACGACACCGCAGACTACGCAGAAGCCTGGTCTCACATCCTCGACAGCGACAAACTAAAGGGAGAAGCCGGTCTGCGGACTGTAGAACCTAGTTACGAGTACTACATGCGGCAGTACCGGTACGAAGGCCCCAACCCAGAATGCCAGTGGAATGGCCCTGTTTGGCCGTTTCAAATGACACAAGTCCTCTCTGGCCTCGCGAACTTCTTGGATCATTATGTGAAGGGGAGGGAGACGGGTGTTATTAACAGCGATGACTACACAAACCTACTCCGTCAATACGCACAGTTGCATCGAAACCCCGACACGGGCATCTTGGATCTAGAAGAAGACTACTACCCCGACACCGGTCTCCCCATCGTAGGACTCAAGCGCTCACATCACTACTTCCACTCTGGCTTCAACGACCTCGTCCTCTCTGGTCTCGTTGGCATACGGCCTTCTGCGGACGACGTATTAGACGTAGCACCTTTGGCATCCGCCGCCCAAATGAGTTACTTCCGCGCTGAACGCATCATCTACCACGGCCGTGAAATCGCCGTACAGTGGGATAAAGACGGTAGCCACTACGGTGGCAACAGCACGGGTTTACGCGTCGAAGTCGATGGGAAAGTCGTTGCGTCAAGTCCCTCTCTGACTCGTCTTACAGTTGAGTTGGAGAGGAAAGCTCCGCCGGCTATCACGGGGAAGATCGCCAAGTCTATCCAACTCAACTCTACAACAGCCTACCCACGTGGTTCAGCCTCGGTGGGGGACTCCAGTCAGTCAGTCACATACCCCGCGATCGACGGTAGAATCTGGTTCTACACTGAGACGGACGCGAAGAACGGGTGGGATACACCCATCGGCAACGGGACTTCCATCTGGTTCCAGATCGACTTTGGCAAGAGTGTTAGTATGAGTAGTGCTGAGCTAGCGTTCTTTGCGAATCAGGAACAAGGGTTTGCGGAGCCGGAGAGCTATAAGATTCAGGTGCCTAGCGGGGGAAACGGTGCTGAGTGGACGGATGCGGAGGATGCGGTCTATGGCGAAGTTGTTGCGAATGGGATTACAGAGGTTGAATGGAAGGAGGTTGAGGGACAGAAGGTCAGGGTGATTTTCACGCCCAAGATGGGGATGAAGGTCAGGATTGCGGAGTTCAAGGTATACTAGTTGTAGGTTCACTACTGGGACGACGCGACGACCAGTAGCGTGTCGTTAAAGAGTAACGTAGGATCAATGGAATACCTATTGTCTTGGTTTGTTCATTTGTTCATTCATTTAGCAGCATCAAAGCTGAGGGTATCTATCTCCGGCTGTTGAAAGGCCAGATTCACTTTTGTCTTACGCCAGAAACACCTCCAAGATGCCTCGACGAAGCCTATACCTAGCTGCGCACATCGATGGCAGTCGCTAGGTATGGCAAGCACGAACCTGCTCGCGATGGCATGCCCTCGTAGATTGTTGAAATACACGAGCTTCAGCGCTCAATCAGTGGAGACGCTTAGCTGCTGTAAGTTTGCTTGGGCTGGGGGTATGAAGGGCCCAGCTCCTGGATGCTGAGCTTGGCAAGCCATTGACCCATGTCGATAGCCTTCTCGAGCGGCTTGCCCTGAACGATACCAGCGACGAAACCACCAGCGAACGCATCACCGGCACCGTTGGTGTCGTTGATCTGCTCCTCCTTGATGGCATGTACGGAGAACTCCTTGACATCAGCGTCACCGCCCTCCTTTGCGGTCACGGCAATGGTTGGGTCGGTGCCTTGGGTGAAGACAACAGTCCTGGGTCGCTTGCTGTTCTGCTTGGGTGTGTTGGCAAGCTTCTTAGCAATCTCCTTGACGTCCTTGGTCTCCCAGCCATGTGCCTCGGCGAATGCGGCGGCTTCGGTCTCGTTGCCGATGACGATGTCGACGTAGGGGAGGACCTCGTCGAGAGGGTCCTTGAAGAATTGCGAAATGAAGGGCGCGGAAAGGTTAAGGATGAATTGCTAGAGAGCGGTTAGTGCACTGTACTTTTCTCAACATATCCAAGATCTTCATACCTTGTTCTTAGCGGCAGCCTCCTCAGCCAGGGCCTTGACGGCTGGTACGCAGACGGTTAAGTGGAAGCCACCAACGTAGTAGACCTTGGCGTTCTCGACCTGCTTCCAGATGCGCTCCTCTTTCAAGTGGTCGATCTTGTAGTTGTTGGCAGCAGCAAGGTCGGTGCACATGGAGCGGTTGTGGCCGGTAATGACAACACCGCAGCGGCCAGTGGGAGTCTTCTCATCGTAGAGGTACTCGGTCTTGACACCGGCGTCGGCCGAGATCTTAGAGAGAGTCTCGCCGTACTTGTCCTTTCCGATGCAACCAACGTATACGACCGAGTTGGGCTCGAGGATGTAAGCCGCACCACGGGCAGTGTTCTGGGCAGCACCGCCAGCGATCAGGACAGCGTTGTAGTTCTGGAGCAGGTCCTCGTACAGGCCCATGTGCTTCTCGGGGTCGGCGAGGATCGCATCGTTGGCCTTCAAGCCATACTTGTCGAGGAGAGCCTGGTCACTGCTAGCTGTTAGCAAAGGCTCAGTGTGGTGCTCCTCCGCAGTTGCTGCAAAGCATTGCAACTCTAGCTGGAAGAAGGTGGACTCACCCGACACCCTGGATGTCCAGAAGCGGGTTCTCAAGGCAGAAGAGTTCGTAGTTTCCAGGCATTGTGTTTGTTGTGTGTGATAAAAGACGTGGTTGGTGTCGTAATGGAGTGAAAGTGCTGAATGTGGGGCAGGGTTTCGGACAGCGAGGGGCAGCAAGCTTCGCGCTAAGAATTGCACCGACACGTAAAGTCCCGAATCAATAAAGGCAGGTGCAGCCGAGTGAAGCATCTTGTGGTGCATACGACGAAAGGCATCCCGGACGGATGTGAGTTGGCATCACGTTAACTTTGAGGCCTGTAGTCGTACGCATAACTCCTTGTTAATCTATAAAGTAAAGTAGAGCTTCCAGGCCAGGTATAGAACGTTGAGACTCGACTCATCTCCGATCCAGAAGCTCAAAGCCTTTGGTCATCTGGAAGATAAGTCATTTCTCAAGCCAGACCACAGCCTGGCTGGCCCGCAAGACCAACCCAAGCAATAATGCAATAATTTCAGTCTGTAAACAAATCGCCCCATCTAACTACCTTCCCTTGATCTTCGATGGTGCTCTGGACAAGTCATGGCATGCAAGCGAACCGTCATAGGAGCACACATGCCGCATGCGGAAGAGCATCCACGCTCATTTAGTTGGAGAGTTCGCTCGTGACCCATCCAACGGACCTCTTCAACTCCGACACGACAGTCTTGCAGAAACCAGGTTGGTAGTCTGGCGAACCGTATGTCTAGCGACGGTAACGACTGATGGTAAGACAGCATTAAGCAGCCTGCTACGGCTGCGCTGGCGTTGGATCAGCCGCCTTGGCCGTTGGGAGGAGTGCGGCCCCAGGAGCTCTCGGCATTGCCCCGGTAGGAGCTGAACAGAAGCGGGCTCGCCATGTTTGCTCCATTCGCGTATCCATACTGGTGGTTGTTGTTCAAGTCGCTGCCATATGGCGATCCCCAGTTTGGGGGGCTGCTAACATGATTTCCCCATGCCGCGCCACTGCCGATACCACTAGGAGCTCTAGTAGCAGTAGGAGTACCAGTTTCGACGCTCAGAAGCGAGTTCGCTGAATCCCCTCGTACATGACCAGACATCCTGGGTTTATCATTCATTGAAGGTCGACGGAGATCGTTGCCAAGGCCGTTGGTATTTAGCATAGAGGGAGACGCTGGACCGGGCGTGCGATTCCAGATGGAGTTGGAATTCCACTGACCATCTGGCACAGAAGGTAGATTCGGTGGCTGGCGGATAGAAGACGTAGAACCCGACCTGCCCATCGGCGTGGAAAGCATGGCAGGCATGGGAGCAGGAGACAAGGGCTTGTAGTTTCTAACCGAGTTGACCAAGTCGTTGATGGACAAAGCTCCCGGCACAAACGTATTGTCATTGACCACAGCCGTGTCGTCAAACGTCTGCTCTGGTGGTGTAGGTGGGATATTCTCGTCTTCTTCAACTAGAGGGTCCAGTCCTGTCTCGTCGCCTACTAGGTCGTCCACCATGTTGCGCATCGCATTGTCTTTAGCAAGCGTAGTCGATGCAGATTCCGAAGCTGCCGCAACAGAGTGTGACTTCTGGTCGTCTGGAATGGGCGCCTCCGTGTGTCTGAACAGAGGTATATCGGTAGCCTGAACTGAAAGAACAGGAGATCCATCAGGCCGAGTCGTTGGGCTCGCCAGAAGCTCCGATGGTAATCCTTCTTCTCGGTAGATAAATCGCGGGCCTGCCAAGTCCAGTGGTGCATCATCAATCTGCGTGAGGAGCAGACCATCGATGAGCAAATCCTTAACTCGCATGAGCATCTCGACGTTGGGGTGGTTGCGCTCCAGCTCAGTCCACTTCTGCTTCATTACAGGCCCCTTATACCAGAGCTTCATGGTATCCGGGTGAATGAGCGGCTCAAAGCCAATCGTATCCGTATCCTCCTCCAACATGTAGTCTTCTTGTGGGAGTTGGTCGACGGGAAAGCTCGAGGCCAAAAGAGACAAGGTAGCAGCGTAGGCTTTCCAGAGCTCTTGGACGTCGACAGGATTCAAGGTATCGGCGATATTGGCGTTTAGTACCTTCCAGTAGCGCGTGAACCAGGTGCTGTATAGACGAAGGCCTGGGAGGATACGGCGTGCCACAGCTGTGATCTTGTCGGATAAATGGGCCGCGCGGTCGCCATTCTGGTGTTTCACATCGTTGCCCTCGGAGAGGCGGTCTAACTCTGGCTGCAGAACTTGTAGTAAGATGAAGAATGTCTTCACGTTCAGACGAAGGTAGTAGAAATAGGTGCGCATGATGTTCGGGGGTGGATTCTCGCCTGTTATCGTTAGCAAAGTCAGCTTGCGAAGAGTGAATAACTTACTCTGCAACTGCACCGTCGCAAAGTATTCCGCTGACATGTTGATGAGGATGATCTTAGTCAAGATGGAGTCCAACGGGCGCTCTTTGAGCTCGATGGCTAAGTGGCTGAGCACCTCGCCTTCCAACTCATCATGCGCGGCGAATTCCTCGCCCTTGTAGAGCTTGCTGTGCAGTCTGATGAACCAAGCAATCAAAGCCCGACCGGTGTTACCGTCGGCTGACTTGTGGTTGTTGATGAGCTGCCCATTGTCCCATGCAGTTATGACGCGCTTGAACTCGGTCGCGAGGTTGGCCTTGGCCGACGGGTACGGCTCTTTGCTTGCGAGCGAGCGGTAGAGGTGGTATACGCAGCGGAAGTGATCGCCGTCCTCGCGGGCGATTACTGCGAGTTGATTCGGCGCATGTCCAGAATCTGGGTATATCTCTGCGGCCAGGTCGTAGTAACCTTTGGCTGGGCCCCAATTGCGGTCCTTGTTCTTCTCGACGAGTTCGGTTTCGCGGTAGCGGGAAAGGTCGCCGAGCTGGATGAGCGTCTGGTGGCAAGAGACGAGGACCTGCGTTTTCAGGTTCGCGGCGATGCGCTGGCGTGGGGAGGACTTGGAGGCTGCTCTCTTATCAGCAAAGTCGCGTGGCGCGCACCGGGCGTGCTTACTATCATCCTTCCATTTCTGGGCGATTTTGCGCAGCTCTGGGATGCCGTCGAACTGAGTGTCGAGGTTCAGTATGTATTGGCGGTAAAAGCGCTGGCTGGCCTTGATAAACTGCAGATAGGTCTTCTGGAACTTGCGGATCTCGACAACATGGTCCTTGGATCGCTTGAGCTACCTGATGTTAGCGATGCCTCTTGTCCTTTCTCTCGTGGTGACGCACCAGCTTATGTTCCTGCCTGAATTTGGTGTTGACCTTCAGATGCGCATTCCACAGCGTCGTCTGGAGTTCGCGGGCGGATGCGTATTCGAAATTGGAGAAGATAAGGGCCTCGCAGGCGGCGCGGTATCTGTCGGACATTAGTCGCCGCCGGTATAAGGTAGCAATGATGCCTACTCTTGCAGCACCGCAGCCAACTCGGCGCACGAAGAACCGCCATCAGCGCGCTTATACAGGTCCTTCTCGATCGCCTTCGCCCGTCTGTACATTAATTAACACCCGGCCGACATCACCAGAATGACGCCATGACGCACCTGTCGAGTTGTTCGGTGTTGGCGGCCATGCCTTCTATGTGCAGGAGCCGGCGACGTTCATATGTGACCCCACGGTCGGCGGGCAGGTCAGACGAAGGCACGGAGCAGGCGGCGGACGTTGTGGCTGGCGTGCTCCATTTATGGTGAAGGGGTATGCCCTACGTAAAGGACAGAAGCGAGCGGGAGGGTCTCGGAGGCAAACAGCGCCCAAGACGCGGAGGTATGGCGTCAGAATCGGAGGCGATGACCGTAGTGAGAGGTGTGAGAAAGTGAGGTTGGTGGATGAGTCGCGAACTAGCGGGCGCAGCAGTCTCGGAGCTAAGGTACCACGTCCCGGCCTGTCTGGCTACCAACCCTCTCTCTTTCACCGCACAGCCAACGCCCAAGTGAAACAGAACTGCGAGACGGCACTTTCCCCGGTAAAAGGTACTGCCCCTTTCATCTACGCCTCGTCACAGTCACAATCAACCCCAATCAACATACAATGGGGATCAAGCGCTCACACCGCGATTCCTCGTCATCAGACAGCACACCCTACTCGCGTGAGACATCGGTCGACGTCAAGATTGTCCACTTAGATACCGAATCTGCCGTCTCTGACGAACCTATCATCATGAAGTGCTCACTACCTCCGCACGAACCGCTTGCGTTCAATTCCATTGAAGACCACGATGTGCACTATCAGCAAGTTCACATGAACCGATGCAGCGAATGCCACAAGAACTTCCCGGATCAGCACTTTCTACATCTGCATATTGCAGAATATCACGATCCTATCAATGCTGCTAAGCGAGATCAAGGAGAGAAAACGGTAGGTCATTTCCTTACGTTGTTTGTCACGTGTTTGCTCCTTCCCTTTCCGGATCTCCCTAGTGGTTCATTCCTCTTGACAAGATTGCCCATCCATTTGGAGTAAGATTGGTGAGGTATGCGGAGTACGAGCGCCTTCACAAGGACACTGTAGCTGATAGCTCGCAGTATGCATGTCTTCTATCTGACTGCGATCGCATGTGCAGCACGCCACAGAAGCGCCGCCTCCACTGCATTGATAAGCACCAGTTTCCTCGCGAGTACGACTTCATCGTTGTGAAGGATGGCATCGATCGCCGAAGCAGCATGCTGATACCTTCTCACCGACGAAGAAGCTCAACAATGAGCTCGGCGAATGGCGCTGCTGGTTCTCCAAGGAGGCGGAGAGGTGAGTCCATCGCAAGCACTGGTGACACTATGGAGATGGATCAGGGAGAAGCCCAAGATGAAGGAGAAACGCGTCGTTACCCCACCAGACTTCGCGGGCGTGGAGGATTCGGAGGCCGCGGGCTCGCACGAGAAGAAGCAGCAGGTATCACTGCCCCAAAGACAGCCACTACCGATCGGCCAACCGACTCCATGGACAGTCTGACTTCTAGCATGTCTGCACTGAAGTTTGTTCCTCACAGTGTCCGGGTAGCGCGCACAAAAGGTAGAGGAGGAGGCGCCTGAAGATACAGCCTTCAAACGAAAGGGAAGAGTTCGGCTGATACTTCTGTCTTTCTTCTACACTTCTGTGATGGTTCTTTCTGTTGTACCTCTTGTCAAGTTATGCTGCCTTGCGTTCCTTCCACAAATGTCGGTTGCCACGTGGTAGTGGTCACAACAGCATTCCGCTTAACGCCATCCTCATCACAACCCACTAGTCTTCCTTGGTGACCCAGCATTGCTATCGGTCGCGATAGTAAGGTACGTGTGTAACTCCAACGGGATCTGATCACAAGCTAACATGGCCGCTGACCGGGTTCCCTTCTTCCCTAATGTGCCTGTCGACACAGCAATGGTGTACATTGTCTGGTTGCACTACGCATTGCGAATCCTTCTAATCCTTTTCGATCGTCTGAAGTCACTTGGGCTGGTAAGAGTGGAGCTTGCATTCGTCTGAGGCCATGTTTTCCTGATACGCGTGATCCTCACCCGACGACAACAACCGCCCCACCACCGCTTGCGCGCAGTCATCATATGCGTCCGAACACCGCCCAAACTCATAGCCGTTATGAAGCTGTCGACTGTCGCTCGCTGTGCGATCGCAAACGAATGCCTGCGCCGAAGAAAACAGCCATCTTGTGACGCTGCCAATCGCACTCACCTAGAGCACCAAGTCGAACTCTTAAGCATCACCATCGAACAAACGGCAGACGAACAACCAACAGAGGCGCAATATCAGCGAGCATCGACTCATGTACAAGCTCTCATCACATCGACCGCGAACGAGAGATGCGACACAGGCACAGTCGGCGTCAAGACCATCGCTTTAGATAAGATCAGTAAAGCGCCTAGTAAGTCCCGGCCAGATGCAGATTAGATGCAAGGTTTATTATATAAAAGCTTATACAAAATTTTGATAGGACATCTCCGTAAGCCGAGAGTTTGGAGGCCAATGTTGAGGAGCGAACGCACTGGCAGTACCGTTCTGGCGGCTTTGCAACTCAACGTAGACAGAGGCGCGGTGGCCACGGGAGCAAATGCTGCACAAAACTCATGTGCTGAAGGCATCGGCTTGACTGCACGCGACACTGTCTCAAAGGCGTGGCAAGGGACGACCGACCACGAATACCAGATTTTCACCACCTTTTGCTTCCCTGCTATAAGTGCATCCGCCCCTCAATCTCTTCCTCCGACGCCGCACCCTGAAGACGCCAGTGATACAGCATCGCCGACCTCAGATACAACCTTGTTCGAAGACGCGCCTCTATGCACGCCCAGCCAGCTAAGATGCGATGAAGACATCAGTGCGTACGTAGCTTGCAACGACACATCAATGGGAGGAGTGTCCATCACCTGGACTCCCCAAGTTACAGAGCAAGAAATCTATCCTGTCGCTAAACGGCCTCTTCGGCATCGTCGATACGTCTCGTCTCGATCAAGCTTCGGCGTTACTGAAACGCCTCAAATCCCGTTTCGGTCAAGATCAAGAACGAACGATGGCCCGCTGTTATTCATGGCAGATCACTCCAAGGAACCTACAGACAACGCTCCTGGAATCAGATACCGTCGTAAAGTCTCCCTGAATCTTCCAGTCAACTCACACGCTTGCCAGCCAGACGCCGCCCAGCGATCCCAAAAGTCCGATATCAGAAGTTGTACAAAGCGAACGTCTGGCATTGAGACCGCTTACTACACCACTATCTTAGATGCAGTGACCCAAGAAGAACGGGATCTAGAGTACAAGCATCGGCATACATTCATTGGAACTGGCTCGTTAGACGACTTCCTGGAGATTCTGGAGACAACACCTCACCATACCGCTACCAGAGATGCCGTTGCTCGGGCATTCGTACAACTGGCGTCATCAGAGCAGCTCTACGCTCGACAGTATTCCGCTAGGACTCAGGGATGGGATCTTGTTTCGCGAACAACACTGAACGTCGTAGACGTTACTAGCGTCGATTACGTTGTACAGTCGCAAGTCAAGCTGGGCTCCATTACATTACGGCAATTGATGGAGTTGATGCCGTTCGATGCATTCAATGAGGTGGGTGCAATGCGTATCGTAGAGGCGTTTTCCGTTGCTAGCCATATGGATGCGATGGCAGGTATAGGCGCACAAAGTAAGGCCAGAGCTTTCAGGAGGTGGATCGTCGAGCAAGAGAGAGTGGAAGCAGATTGTTGAGTGCTGCAGAGACGTTGCAGAACGAGGTGCTCCATCGAACTCCATGATAATGCTCGCGCCTGTGAATCCATCAGGCGAAGCAGAGTTGGAGGTACGCGCGCTTTTCCCCACTATACCCAGTCATCGTCCTAGCATCAATACTCAAAGTCACTGACGTATTTTCCTACATACTCATGTAATGTTGCTTTCTAGAGACATTGTGATCATAACAGTGAAGCAGCCACGGTTCCTCGTTTCATTAAGTGTGTCTTAGCTTGCCACCTGGGTAGTATCTCAAGGCGCGTATCTTTGGTTTTCCTGTCGGATCGAAGGCTCGGCAACTGAGGATATTGGTCTGTCTGTTTTCACCGAAAAGGCAGAGACACAGTCAGACCTACTGTCTTAAACCAAGGGTCCAGGCATGAAGTCACAAGGTGCGCAGCCACTGCAATCGTGAAGAGGTACCTATCCCTCAAGAATGCGACATGATGAAGAGGACGACGGCGGTCACAAAGATAGCGGTTCTGTCATGGTTTCTGCGGCCACAGAGAAGGATAGTGTGGTGTTTCCAGCGAGGATTCGAGGAGATTTGAGGGTTGGTATGCGCATGAATGGCTACGGTAGGTTTTGTGTCAATGGTGTTGGAGGTTGTTTTGAATTTGGCCGACGACATTTCGTTAGCACACGCGCGCTCAATGTGCGTGCAGTAAGGTACGAGGATGTGAGAAATCTAATCGGATCGCGAAACACCAAATCGGTGACTTGTAGAGGGGCGTGAGATGACATGTAATTTGACCATTGGTGAGGGTTTCCCCGCAGACCACAACGCTACTTTAGATCGCGCAATGCCTCGAGCTGTCATGTCAACGATGCAAATCCTTGATTTCGAAAGAAATGCATCGTCCTTCGTATGCGGGTATGACCGTTTCGGATACGCGGCTACACCAAGACCCTAGCAACGCGCATCCCACCCGATCATCCGGACAGCGCAACTCCAATGACGAGTAGAGAAAAGCATCTGATCTTCCCCGCATCATCCTTGACGCAGGAACCGATGCCACTGCCTTGATCCAAGTGCAGCCACCCGGACGTCGCGGAAGACTTGCTGCTGTTGTGACGGCCTAAGTCCTCGGCGCCCAAGACATTTCCAAGCGCCGCCAATGCCATCTCCAAACTTGGCGATTTGCATTACGCACACCAGCCCCTATGTACAACGACAACCGGGACCTGCGCGCAATCAATGATAGGGGATGGCCTGGAGGGCCAGACTAGATTGCCAAGCCAATCGTGAGTTTCGTAGTCATTTTAACGAGTTTAAACGATCCAACCCTAGCCTTGTACCAACACCGAAGGATGACTACCAAGCGTTGCACTGTCGCCCAGCTACTGCTGCGGCTCAACGCCGTTACTTGGCTGACGGCCGAAGGGGTTTCATAACATCACGACTCGCCATCCTAGAATGTTCGTTCTCTTGTTTTCCCTTGCTCTTCTCCTACCAACCTCAGGCTCCGCTACGTCGCTCGCTGTGTAGTGCCTCAGGCGCATTCGTTAACCCGCGCATGCCGAATACCCAACACCTTTCTTTCCAGTGATACCCCGGAGCTTCCGCCATGAGACCTTCGAACTTTGTTTTTGCAGCAGTTGGCCTACTGTCTTCATTCGTCACTGCGCAGCTGGAGCTCAATGTTGACGATCCAGGTGCGCTCACTGCAACTGTTTTCGGACTCCACTAACATAAGCAGCCTCTATTAAGGATGCGACCAAAGTTGTCGCAGCGGGCTTAAGAGAATGGTACACTGGCGACCGACCCGGCGATGTACCTGGAAACTTGCCAGACCCATACTACTGGTGGCTATGCGGAGCCATGATGAACTCGTTCATCGACTACTGGTACTACACCGGCGACGACACATATAACAAGATTGTACAGCAAGCGATGGTACACCAAATCGGTATCCCAAAAGCCTTTATGCCAGAGAACCAGACCAAGACACTAGGAAACGACGATCAGGCTTTCTGGGGAATGGCTGCCATGTCAGCAGCGGAAAACAAGCTTCCAGATGTCGAAGGAGAAATGTCGTGGTTATCACTCGCCATCGCCGTATTCAACACACAGGTACCGCGTTGGAATCCCGAAACATGCGGCGGTGGACTCAACTGGCAAATTTTCCGATTTAACCCTGGATTCGACTACAAGAATACAATCTCCAACGGATGCTTTTTCAACATCGCAGCAAGGCTGGCAAAATACACGGGTAACCAGACGTATGTTGAGTGGGCCGAGAAGGCATGGGATTGGCAGTACAGTGTCGGTCTTATCAGCACAGATTACCACTTCTTTGGTAAGGATACTCGTGAATAAATATCAGATGATATACATACTAACATATACCTTTCGTAGATGGTACCAGTGAGAGACAGAACTGCACGGAAAAGAACCACATCCAATGGACCTACAACGCTGGAATCCACATGGCGGGTGCCGCAGCGTTATGGAACATGTCAGAAGCGAAGGGTGATACGGTAAGGCTCCTCAACCTGATCTACCCTCATATTGATTCTGACCCAACGAAGGAACGAGCAGGCAGATGGCGAGAGCGCCTGAGCGGTGTCATCAACGGCACCGACATCTTCTTCAACGCCCAAGGAGCCCCAGACGTCATGATCGAAATGGCCTGCGAACGCAACGGACTATGCGACCACGATCAACGATCCTTCAAAGCCTACCTCGCCCGCTGGATGGGCTGGTCGATGCTGGCCGCTCCCTGGACCCGCGACCGCATCATGCCAAAACTCCGTGCTTCTGCCGTGGCAGCTGCGCAACAATGTGGCCCCGGAAAAGGTGGCTGTGGTCTTAGGTGGTGGCAAGGTGGAAATGACAAAGAGGTGGGCGTTGGAGAGCAAATGTCTGCATTGGAGGTCATGCAGAACTTGCTTGTTGATCAAGTTTCTGGTCCGGTCGGACTTGACAATGGTGGAATCAGTGAGAACGATCCTACTGCAGGAAGTGATGCAGGACCTGTGCGTGTTGAGCATGACTCTATCACGACAGGGGACAAGGCCGGCGCTGCGATTCTTACTATCATAGTATTCGCGGTGTTCTTTGGTGGAGGCGCCTGGCTGATTATGAGCGAATAGTTTATTTCTTAATTCAAAGTATTTTCCACTTCATTGTATCGCCTGAACTGAGACATGGATAGAAAATCTGTGCCCAAGGCTCGATCACCGACTATTACCGACGAGAATTCGGAGTGGAGCGGTGCCATGCCTGCCAACGATTCATGACTTTGACGCGTGAAAGCAGTGTGACTTTATACCTGCAGCACCGTATGCGCGTGTATTGAGATCTGCATGCATTTGTAATGCCCCGTTTGCCATGTGTATACAATGCGACCTATGAGGGGGCGCATTATGACATAAGCGTGTAGATCATATCCTGAATGAGGTAGGATGGTGACTTCCCAACTCGGAATTAGCGGGTGTATACCCAGGTACAGCTGCATCACCTCACGCCAGCCATGAAGCATTTGTAAGCTCACCGGCTATACTTCCGACATCACAAAGACGATATAAGGTTGCTACCAAAGCTGCCAGTCTCGAACGATCATTCAGTATCTGCCAGGTGATACAATCGCAATCGTGGACAGTATCCAATAACAAACATGACGTCAGCCAAACCCTTCAGCACCACGCCAGCAGGTGCGCAACAGCAGCCCACCCCCTTCGAGTTACATGTTGAGGATCAGAAGCTACAGGACTTTAAGACCCTACTCAAGCTGAGTCCGGTCGCGAAGGAGACGTATGAGAACAAGCAAAATGAGGGAAGCCATGGCAAGTTTGGGATTAGCCGGCAGTGGATCATTGATGCAAAGAAGGAATGGATGGAGAAGTTCGACTGGTATGTGTACTTGGTAACTGATTGAAAAGAAAGTGAATGTACTGACATACTGCAGGCGCAAGGAAGAAGAACGCATCAACTCTCTCCCCAACTTCAAGACCACCATCAAAGACGATGGCAGTAGCAGCTACGACGTCCACTTCGCCGCATTGTTCTCTAGCAAGCCCGATGCTATCCCAATCGCTTTGTTTCATGGCTGGCCTGGCTCATTCTTGGAGTTCCTACCCCTCATGGAAGTTTTGAGCAAGAAGTACACGCCAGACACACTCCCTTACCACATCGTCGTACCATCTCTCCCCGGCTTCGCTCTATCGTCTGACCCACCTGTATATCAGGACTGGAGGGTTGCGGACACCTCCCGCATCATGCACAAGCTCCTTCTCTCCCTCGGATTCGGCGCATCAGGATACCTCGTCCAGGGTGGTGATATCGGCGCTCTAGTCGCGCGAGAGCTGGCAGCTACGTACGCTGAGTGCAAAGGCATGCATCTCAACTTCATGCATATGAGCGACATCAAATCCTACTCTTCTCCTGAGGACGATCTGAGTGAAGCAGAGAAGAAAGGTCTTGAGAGGATGGACGAGTTCATGGAGGTAGGACGCGCCTATGCAATTGAACACGCAACCAAACCTTCTACCATTGGTCTCGTACTCTCGAGCTCGCCCATTGCGCAGCTGGCCTGGATCGGCGAGAAGTTCCTTGCGTGGTCTGATCCGTCCACCACACCTTCCCTCAAAACGATCTTGTCGGATATCACCCTGTATTGGCTTACTGATTGCTACCCAACGTCAATCTACACGTACAGAGAAGGCAAGAAAATAAAGTATGTAGACAAGCCGACAGGATACAGCTGGTTTCCATATGAGCTTTCGCCCGTTCCAAAGGCTTGGGCAGAGAAGACGGCTAAGATGGTGTTCTTCAAAGCGCACGATAAGGGTGGGCATTTTGCGGCATTGGAGAGGCCCGAGACTCTGTGGGCGGATATCGAGGAGTGGGTCAAGATTGCTTGGAAATGAATTGGCCGTGGCGGTGAAGTCAACAATTTTCATGAAAGATAGGAAAAATGATGCACAAGCGATGCAACGGGTTTAGCCTGAAAGCGTGTCAATGTAGAAGAATTGACGATAAGCTGATGATTGCAATCGTTCGTGTCGCTCTTTCACGGCCGCCACGGTAGAACTCGGCTAGATCCTAGAGCAGTCGGTATTGCACCTTGTAGATAGCCTCGACGTCGCTGCTTCACTCATCAAAATCCCCGCGGGGATCACGATGTTTGCCAGCTCTCAAGTTTGGGACCGAGTAAGGATTTATCAATAGGACCGTAAGCAGTTAGCGTCGAGGCTGTGTCGCTCCGCCGATGACGCATGCCATACCAATAACACGACTCTGCCAACAACCACGCTGCATGCCTAATCCTCGCTCGTAACATGAAACGTGCCATATAGCGGGCGGTGCCAAGTAAGCAAACAGCAGTGACAGTTGCATAAGTCTTCATATCCATACTCCTCCCATTGCTCACGAAACCTCTTTCTCTCACGTTCGTTCATTTGTTTCCTTCTGCCGGTTCTCCCCACCACTCGCTCCCCGGGAGACCGGCTAACACGGCATCGGCGCCCATCATCGCGATGGCCCCTTTCCAATTCGGAGATTTGGGCACAATATGCAACTATGCGAAAGTTAAATACGAAGAGAGGGCTGAGACGAAGAGGCGTCGCAGCTACAGACGCTCTACGAGCGACCCCACCATGAACGCTACTATACGCAAACCGCACGGCAAACTACACAAACCGCCCAAAATAGAGTCCCTATATGAACGAAAAGAGCGTCCTCGCAACAAGTTACAAAAGCGTAGTCCGCCGAGCATTATTGGTGCAGTCAGGCCGCCGGTCAATTTCTTCGCATTGGAATACGATCCTTATCCGTATAATACGCAACCGAGCCAGTTCCTGGGCGTCTACTCGAGTATCGATACTGTGACGGCGGCCGCATTCCGACATGGCGCGTATACGTTTTCGAGAGAAGGGTTGCTGGATGGAAGCGAGTACCTGAGCCCGACGGGTCGCATCAAGATTATCTCACATGCCATACAAAGTGTGGGTGTTACGGCTGCGGTGCCGGGGGATAGGGCTAGCAAGAAGTTCGACGATGGGGTTATGAGGTTGGACATCCCGCATCCGCTCTGTCAGCCTGCGCCGCGGTTCGACAGTCAACAAGATCTCAATAAGCAAAACGTCATCAAGGATGCAGTCTTCCTGGCGCTTCATGAAGGGCCACAGAGCGCGTTTTGCATTGGGATGTTCACGAGCAAGAGTCTGGCGTGGGGTGCTTGTCTGAAAGATAAGGCGTGGCTGGGGTGGTCAGATCCTCTGACTGAGGAAGAGAGGAGTGTTGAGGAGAATGATATGCCCCGGATATCTGCCAGGCTCGCGGGAAGCGGACGGCATGCGTGGTTCGTGAGGGCTTTTGAGATCGATGGGAGGTGAAGCGGACGATAGAGCTTACGACATCACTCACTCTTGCGGATATGCGCCATGCTGAGCGTACCGCCACGACATCACCGCAGCACACTCAAAGCATCGATAAGCTAGCATCTATGCGGACTTTTTAGGTGATCATCATGGGAATCGCAACGCGACGAACTACCATACCACATGTCCAAAGCGGCAAACATTGGCGACATACATTAGCCTGGTGTTTTGGTGGAACATGTGCTACGTATGGTGGTATCCTTCATCATCGCTCCAATGATGAAAACAATCATCATGTAGATTCTTAGCCAAGGGCCTGAAAAGTACCATCCATACGAGACATGGCACCGATGTTTCCCAAGCGGCAGCCCGCAGTCATCGCCCAGTTCATTAGAACTTTTGGCAAAGTCGGTATCGACTGTAGAGATGAAGGAGGAGGCTTCCAGGACATACAAAAGATCCCCTTTATAGACTATAGCACAATGCTGCCTCGGTGGCTTTCTTCGTCTTCCCTCACCCACGGCTTCTCATCACAATGTCTTGTCTCCTACGAGGAACACAGGATGCAGCTTTTTACATTCTGATGAACCATGTGGAAATCATAGTGTTGTCACAGCGGTAATTAAAGAATGACGAACCCATCTCGCCGACGACATGTGCAGCTGCGCTGCGTTTTTGAGATCTCGCGACCACAGGCATACCTCTTCTCAGCTCTGTTTTTGGTGGGGAAAAGCCGTGGTATTGGTAGAATTGTGGAGAGCATAGAATCAACAAATAGTGGTTTCTGATCGAGAGACCGACACGTGAACTTGCACAACTTGTGTTTATAGACATGAGAGGAAACCATATGAGGTCGCATGTAGGTCTTTTTGGTTAGAAGAGCAGCGCAGACGTAGCCAAGAGGCGAGACAGGCTTTTGGAAGCTGGGATTGGGGAGACATCAGTCCGAACTGCTCGCTTTTAGACGAAGAGAAGATGCTGCTCGAAACTGAACAGCTCTTCATCTGTTTTGGATGAAAGAAGCAAGGCACGCTTATGCAGTGCTCGGAATGCCTTTTTTGCGACAAAGAAGCGGTTGGAGGTCTTTTCTCTCCATCTTGCCGTGGACGTTTTCATACAGCGCATCGTGCTAACACATATAATCGAAGGCACAACATTCTTGGAAGGAGAGGAGGGAAAACACGACATGCGGGATCTTCATCCCTTTTTGGAGCAGAAGAAGAGCAAAATCGCAAGGGGTATCTCTTTATCACTTTGATATCGGAGTATAGTAAAGTGTCGTGCCTGCTTCTTGCCGGAAGTGAGCTTATATACTATTCCGCGCGAGCCTAGACGAATGATGTCGACATGCATGAACCATACAACAGCAAAGCTATACATGTAGAACTTGTTGCAGACTTCCAGACGAACAGGCGCGGCATGAAACACTCTGATCCGGGTTTTGATTGGAACGAGAGCGCGGACACATAGCCCTTCTCTTTCGGTGTCTTGAATACGGGTGTAGATGAAGCTGCCTTCACTCACCCTCGTCATATCCGGTAGCGATAGCGGATGTAGTCATTGCGTCCGATCCACGCGAAATTGGGGGAGATGATAATGCGAAAGCGCTCGACAACGACACTTCCACTTTGGGAATTATCTATAGATGGGTGACCGTTGGAGTAATCATAGAAATGTTATTCGTTTCTTGAGGGAGACAGAGTGCAAAATCGCAATCAGACGCGAGACAGAGTCTTCTTCGTCCATATTCCATCTTGTTCATCGTTTTGTTTGCGGAGAACCCGCTGACATAGCTTTTGCCTGGCAGAAACTTTAGAAGGTAAAACACCCATAACACTATTTTGGTCAATCTTCGGGAGAACGTATCCCCAGATATGTTGGTGGAAGAGTAAAAAGGAAAGAAGAAGCGTTTTAGGTAAGATTATATAGCTGTCTCCAAACCAGAGCCTCCTCTTCACGAAACACGATCATGTGGACGTGGCAACTTGGTGTGTTCACGTGGTCATGTCAGCGGCAATGTTCGAATAGCTCTCAAAGTCAAGTAGAAGAGGGGTGTAAAACTCTGATCCATGGATCTCGAGACCTCTCTTCTTCATAGGGATGTTGCTCTGCTCTTTTGATCGTTGTGCGCTTTGTCCTGTGCAAGAAATCCCGGAGAACACCGAGGCAGAGGAAACAGTGTTTATACAGCCAATTCTGGTGTGGGGTGGCTTTCGTCGGGATTTTGGTGTTTCGGCACTCCGCATACGTGGAGTAGGCCGTGTTTTAGGAGACAAAGAAATGAGTGAACACATGAATATCACGTCTGTAGACTCCAGAGGAGAAGAAAGCCGCACATGCCTTTTTGCGAAAATTATTCTGAAGAGCAGACTTTGGAGTGTAGTGTAAGAAAGTAGAAGGTGAAAGAAGTATTGAAGCTTAAAAAAGCCGTCACTGACTCCAATGAGTGATGAGTGAGACAAAGGCGAAGGAAGAAGAACGTGTGTTGATTTCAAGTTTTTTTTTGTGGAGAAGAGCGATCTTCTCATGCCATTTCCAACCGGTCGTTTTGGAGGAGCCGACTCTGGAGTGCGGTTTGGAAGAGAGGGAAGGTAGCGGTCTTGTGAGACTTTATATACAGCCGCTCGCTGTTAGCGTAGAACTAAGACACATCCAGACACAGCGCAGTAACATGTGCGACGATATTTCGGTACTCTCGGTATCTATGGCGACTAATGATGAAGCCCCATATTGCACACACATTGACAGATATCCTGACGCATTTTTTTTTGCGCCGCCGGTTGCCGACACACTCTCTTGGGACGTTCTCGAAGATCTACTGGTTATGGCGGTGTCTCAATGTACTTTGAGTTCGGGAAGAGCTCCCTCCAAATGGCTTCATGTGTCCATTTCACTATTATTCTTGAGGGGCAGCTCAGAGGCAACATAGCAGTGATGCGCGAGTTATTTGGTAGATGATAGAAGGACGAGGTCATGGTAGTGGAGAAGAATGAGAAGCAACAGTTGACGCGTTCATATATACATCGTTTATGGTAGTTGCGATTGACAGTTTGATGCAGCTGTAATTTTGACGTCTAGTCATATTGCGCGCACGACAACCTAAAAGACACGGTATGGTACAGTGATATTCTTGAACGAAGTCGGCAACAATATGATGTATTTGGATTGTATTTTTGAAGCAGTTGAGTGAACAAGAAGTCGAACTCTGGTTCTCATGGCATGTTAGTCCATTCTTTTTGGTTGAGCAGAGGATGGTGAAACAAACATACATGGCGAGCCAGCGCTTTTTGGATACAGCGAGCAGGAAACACATCCGAAGCCTTCTTAAGGGTTTTCGAGAGAAAGCATAGTGCCTCAACGACAGATGAGGAAAGAGAGAAAGGGTTGAAATAGTGGTATTTATACAAGTTCCATACACTTGGTAGGTTGTGCTTGGCACGGTCTTCACATGGGTTGATGATGGTCGAAGGCATGGAATCGTCTCGAAGTATTTTTGTTGGCCATGAGGCGTGAACAATCGTGCTACGTCAATGCCGTGGACAGCGAGAAGCCTGAGAGCTCTTCCAGGTTTCCATATGGCTCTCACGACGGAAATTCTGGATGAGCAACTAGCCAAAAAGCAAAGTTCGTTCGGGTGTGACGATGTAAAAACCGTGTTACTTGTAAAGAGAACGTCACATTCCGGAGACGTGACATTGATTCTCGCTTTCTCTTATATACATATCGTGTTGTCAAAATACACCGTTGGCTCGTGTTGCTGACACGATCAGGGTGACTGACTGTGCCGACAGCGTCTCGTATTGCTGACTGAACGAGAGTTTTGTGGATACCGCAGTGTGGCGACGCGGGTACAACATGCAACTTCCCGACGCACGCCTACTCCACCTGCAGGACCGGGTACGACACCAGCGAGGTCCTGTGCCTGGTGGCTGCCACGCCAATATGTCAGAGCTTATAGTTTCCGAACCTGGATCGCCAGAGGCGCATGTCAATCTGTAAGTGGCCACCGATCGCCCATTCATATCGCGGCCCGTGCGACGAATACGAAGTATGACTCTGGTGTCGTTGTCTCTCAACAACCCGCGATCGACATGTCGTGGTCGTTTGTAATATGGCAAGGTGGTCAGGCGGGCATAAGAGGGTAAAACAGTGTCGGCTGAGCGAAGCGGCCATCGTTTCTGCAGCGATCATGCGCAGCAAAGCAAGAGTGCGGTGTGGGTACCAGTTCATTGGGCCTGTACAAGGTGGCATATTCTGATGGGTAACTGCATTGACAGCTCGCGATGGTGCAGGGTTCCACACCCCCTTGCGTAGCCATGTGTTCGAGAAGCCGGAAGGATCGCAGTTCTGAGTCTCCCCTGGTGCTATCGCGATGGAAGCACGAGTCAGATGGGCGCATGTCTGTTTCGACAGAGGGGGTGTGTCCCCGAATGATCGTACCCTTGCATTACGTGTGGTAGGCAGCCTCATACGCTCGATCGACCAGGATGTGTCCGTGTTGCGAATGCAGAAAGTGTGCCGCTTAGGGCTTTCGGGGAATTGTGTAGCCGTATGCAATGAAGCTGCATCGCGAAATGCCAAAGGTGGCTGCAGGATCGAAGGCGTCCATCCTCGCTGCTTCTTCGGCGTTCATGTACAATTGAGGAGCTGATGTGCTCCCAGGGCCAGGGAGACGAGCCGGTCGTCTCCCGCTATCAGGGTCCTCGGCTGCGCAATCATTGGGCGGTGATCTGGTTGCTGGATCTCGAGGCGTCCCGGTGGCTAAAAGACGCGAGAGTGATGACTGCAGCCCATCGCAAAAGCAGGTGCGTACCCTGGACGCAAGGCACGCGTAATGCTAGGGCATATCAACATTACCAGGGCAAAGTATTGAATATCGAAGGAAGCGGGGCAGTGCGACGGCAGCGCTTCACGCGATAACAGCCACCGCGTCCTCTGCAAGGCTTGGTCCCAATTGCGAACGGACCTGTTTGAAGATGAAAATATGAAACTGCGAGTATCAATTACTCAAGCGGGGTAGCTGCAAATATTGAGATGCTGCACCTATATCCCGATCTCGTAAGATCACCGTCAGTGTTCAACAGCCGGCAGGCGCCATGATGTGCTGCAAGGTCTTAATGTCCTTGTGATAAGATGTGATCACCTAGAGGCGCTTGTTAGCGATGATTGTGGCGCCTGCGTCGATCCGGTTTTCTGTTCCCGTAGCTCCAGCTGGAGGTCAGATCTTGCTTTTGACACCGCCCAAGCCTCAAAATATGCGTGAGGCGCTAACACTGCGTCGCCAAGTCGCCGCG